TCTGTCTGTCTGGCGAGCGCACGCGCCCTATAGCGAAAATCTCTCTAAAAAAAAAAAAGAAAACACCAGGTCTGTAACTCAAACCATGATCGGCCATGTGGGAGTCCAGGGTACTTAACCACCACGCCACCTGCTGGCCCTGCCTTTCACTTTCTTTAAGGTGTCTATTGATGAGTAGAAGTTAATGCTTGCTCTTTATGTTTTATGTTTTTTGTGTTAAGAAAATCAGTCAAAAAATTACCTATATTACATATTAACCTTTGTAATATAAACTATACTTGTATCACATTATATTAACATTATATGTGCATTACATTTGAGTTTTATTCAGTTGATTTCTATATATGATGTGAGGTAGGAATTTTCTTCATTATTTTTTCCTTATAGATTACCAAATTTTCCAGCTGAATAGTCCCTCCTTTCTGCAGTGGTCTTCTATGCCATGTCTTATATACCAAAATTCAGAATATGCATAACTGTTTCTTGGCTTTTCAATCTGTTTAGTTGGTCAAAGTCTAAATATAACTAATATTTGTCCCTCGTTCTGGATAATATAAAGCTTTACGTCCCACATATGTAATTATTTTATATATTTCAATTTGTTTCTTCTTTAACCCCATAAGATATTACTATTTTATGCAGTGATCATTAACTAATCCTCTTTTTTAAATGAATTTCTTCTTGTACACCAAAGCTGCTGCCTAAAGTCAATTTTCTTCTGGTTGAAATATATTGTTTAGAATTTCTTTTAGTGATGATCTGATGATGGCAAATTCTTAGTTTGTTTGGCTAAAATGACTTTATCTCATTTTTTTATAAAGAATTATCTAATCTTGGGCCAGCAGTTGGCATGGTGGTTGAGGTGCTACACTCCCACATGGCCTATCACAGTTTGAGTCCTAGAACTGGTGACTTGCTTTCTCACTTTCCTTTTTCTTTGTGTGTCACTCTCTGATCAAATTAAAAAATAATAAATAGGAACCAGTAGATGACATAATGGTTACATTGCTGGACTCACACATAGTCATCCGTGGTTTGAATTTTTGACCTGGCAGCTTAAAACTCATGCCAGGTGAGTGTGCATGCATGTGTGCCCAAGATCCTGAGAGGAGAATGTAGGAGAGGGATTGCGGTGTGCCATTGCCCCAGGGGATGATTTCATGCTTTCGCTTTGTCTCTGTCTCTCTAGTGAGCACACATGTGCCCTATAGCAAAAAAAAAAAAAAAAATCTCTTAAAATAAATTAACTAAATTGGGACCAGCAGTTAGCATAATGGCTATATCGCTGGACTCCCATGTAATCAACTGCGATTCAAGTCCTGGACCCAGTGGCTTAAACTCATGCCAGGCACATGTGCATGTGTACCCAAGATATATAAATAATTTTATTTATTATTATTTTTAATTAGTTATAGAGCACATGTGCTCACCAGAGAGAGAAAGTGAGAAAGCAAGCACAAGGTCCAGGACTCAAACCACAGTCGGCCATGTGGAAGTCTAGTGCCTTAACCACTATGCCACTTGCTGGTCCCATCTTTATGTCATTTTTGAAAGATAATTTTGGTGGGTATAGAATTTTTTTTTTTTTTTTTTAGAGATTTTTCACTGTAGGGCGCGTGTGCTCGCCAGACAGACAGAGAGAGACAGAGACAGAAAGCGAGAAATCACCCCCCAGGGGGGATGGTCACACCACAATCCCTTCTCCTCCATTCTCCTCTTGGGATCTTGGGCACGCACGCACACGCGCCCGGCGTGAGTTTTAAGCCACCGGGTCCGGGACACGAACCGCGGTCGACTACGTGGGAGTCCAGCGACATAGCCATTACGCTAACTGCTGGTTCCCCTGGGTATAGAATTTTTGATGGACAGTATTCTTCTTTAGCTCATAAAGGATACCATTCTATCATTCTCTACTGATTGTCTAATTGCTATTTTCTTGAAGATAATCTATCTTTTGGGGTCAGCAGTTGGTATAGTGGTTGAGGCGCTGGACTCCCACATGGCTGGCTGCAGTTTAAGCCCCCGACCTGACAGCTTGTTGTGACTTGCTTTCTCACTTTCCTGTTCTCTCTCTGTCTCTCTTTGGTCAAATTAAATAATAATAACAATAGATAAAATAAATAATTCTTTAAAATAAGAAAAATGATAATCTCTCTTTTTCCCTTGGCACTTTTTATCTCTTCTCCAGTTTTACTATGTTACATTTGAGTGTAAATGTATTATATTGATCTTGCTTGGAATTCCTTGGCCTTCATAGCTCTATAGGTTAGTGATTTTCATTGGTTCTAGAAAATTCTCAGTCATTAATACTCACATAATTCCTCAGCACATTTTTCTTTTCTTCTTTTCTGGGACTTCATTGAGACTATTTGGACTTTATTACTCTGTTCTCTATGTCCTGTCATATTTCTCTCACTTTTTTTCCCTTTTTTAAAAAAAGATTTATTTATTTATTTAATTCCATTTGTTATTATTATTTTTTTAGATTTGACCAGATAGAGAGAGAGAAAGGGAAAGCAAGAAAGCAAATCGCTAGGTCTGGGACTCGAACCGCAGTTGGACATGTGGGAATCCAGCACCCTTAACCACCATATCACCTGCCAGCCCCTCTCACTTTTGACCTCTGTGTCTCTGAGTTGCAATTTGTATACTTTCTTCTAATCTGTTTAGTTCATTCCAGCTATTGCTGTTAAATCAATTCATGGCATTTTTACTTTCAATGATTATATTTCTTTCCTGAATGATAATTTCCATGTCCAAATCTGCTAGATTAATTGTATACATTTCTTTTCTCTTCTTGTGATTATAATTTTTTAATTCTTTATTTACTTTAATTTATCATTATTATTATTATTTAATTTGATGAGAAAGAGAGAGAGAAAGTGAGAAAGCAAGCCACCAGGTCCAGGACTCAAACCATGGTCAGCACCTTAACCACCACACCATCTGCCTACTCCTATAATTTTTTAAAAAAGGTTTTTGCCTAGGGTGCATGTGCTCACCAGAGAGAGAAGAAAAGTGAGAAATCACCTCATACAAGGAAATAGCCACATCATAATCCCTTGTCCTCCATTCTCCTCTAGGGTTTTGAGTTTGTATATACACATGCCTGCTGTAATTTTCAAGCCACTAGGTCCAGGACTCGAATGGTAGTTGACCATGTAGGAGTCCAGAACCTTAACTACCATACCACCGCTATAATTTCTTACTGATGAGATTTCCTCCCTCCCCACTCTCTTCAATGCCAGCACTGCTTTCTTTGTGGTTTCTTGGAGTAGGGTGGGAAATTTTTACTCACTCTTGCACTCAGGCAGTAGTCATTGTCCCAATTTTATGAGGGTCTTTTTAAGGCAAGAAAAGGACTTCAAATCACTCCCCAAATCTGTCTTCATACTTCCGGGCCTGACCACCCTCTTCCTCAGATTCAGTCTCTTTTCTATGAATGTTTTCCTCACAGGTTGTGTGTTAGTTCCTCAGATCTGGGTTCCCCATCTGTTTTATAAAGTGTTGTCGGAAAAGTCACAATGCATTTTGCACAGAAAAACATGTCATGAAACAAAAAAAAAGAAAGAAAGAAAGAAAGAAAGAAAGAAAGAAAAACATGTCATAACTTTTCCGATGACCCAGTAGTTTCCTCAGGGTGGATTTCAGAGAGGGAATCCAGTGGCCTTTTTTGGTTAGCTATCTTGCTTTTGTATCTTTGTACAGAAGGTGTCTCTACTATTAGATATTATTATCAACTTTATGGGATCAAAGAGGAGATTAGAGGCAGATTGCTTCTTGGTTTATATTTTTAATTCGTTGTCTTGTATTTTCTTTTTCATTCAGTGCTTTGGCTGATGCAGCCATGGGGAAGAAAGTCTTGTACATTCCCTACAGAGATTCTGTTCTGACCAAACTGCTCCAGTCAGCTCTGGGTGGGAATAGCAGAACTACTTTGGTAAAATTACTTTCTTATAAAATTTTAGACTGATCCAGCTATTATTATTGTTGGTGTTGTTGTTATGATGGATTACAATTATTTTCAATACACCCGTAACGCAGCACTTCGCATTGACATAGCACGTTCTTACCCTATGACTCCAGGCATTCTTTCTACTACGGTGCTCAAGTAAAGTTTCTACTTAACCATTTTAATTTTTTATTTATTCATTTACATAATTTTCTGATTCTCTACAAGGGAAAAATTACTTTTATTATCAGAAAACAGTAACACAATTTAAAAAAATAACACTAGCAATGTGATGTTATTCTAAATCATCAGTCATTTCATGATAAGGTTGGTATTCATTTGATTATGTTAGATATGAGTGATTTTGTTTTGTTTTTAAATTTGCCCGAAGGCACATGTGCTTACTGGAGAGGGACCAGTGGAGAAGGTGGAGGAGAGTGAGAAAGCACCCCTCCCCATGGGAATAGTCACACGGCACTCCCTTTTCCTCCATTTCTCTTTTGGGGATTTTGGGCATGCATGTACATGTACTTGCTATTTGAAGTGGGTTTTTCAAGCGACCAGGTCCAGGACTCAAATTGCACAGTCAGTTATGGGGGAGACAGTGACCTTGACCACACTATGCACTGGCCTACACGGCAGGTGTTCAACCTGGGGAGTAGTTTAACTGTGTCATCTCAACACTCCGGGCTCTGCTTATTAAATGTCTGACAAGTGGGCTCATCGTGGAATGTGTTAAAATCAGGGCTGTTTGCCCTTCAGCTGCAGAGAGGAATAGAACTGAGTGGCCTCTGCTGCCAGCCTTGTGCAGGCCTCTGGTCTGCTGTCTTGGTTAGGAGAGAAATGCTCCCTGCTGTGACTTTTTACTGCACTTCCCTCCAAATTTCACAATAAAGCACAGCTTTACTTTTTATAATTTAATCTTGCCTAACTATTTTTAAATACTTCATTTTTTAATTGCCAAAGGGAAAATGCATTCACCAGAGAATGACAGAGAAATAGAGAGAGGGAGAGAGAAAGCACCCCTGAACAGGACATGGTCATGCCTCAATCCCTTTCTCCATCCTGTCAGGATTTTGGCACGCACACACACACATGCCCAGTGTATTTTTCAAGCCACCATTGTTGGGATGTGAACTGCAGTCAGTCATTTGGGATCCAGTTCCCTTAACCACCAGGCTACGGGGCTGGCCCTAAACACTTTCATTTTAAAGCTTTTCTGGTTGTCAATTACCTATGGGCTTCCATGGGACATTCTCCAGAAACCTGGGGTAACAGAAGGCACATGAGATGCCTTCTGACTACAACATTCAATCTACCAGAGCTGAACAGATATGCACAGTCACCTGAGACCAACAGAATGACTTCCGTAAGACACAGGAAGGTCGGACTAAAGGTATTACAGTGATTTAACAAAAATTGTGGTAGGGAGTAGGTTGAGGGGTGGTCACTGATTATCTCAGAAAGAAATGAAAACAGAGCATATGGCAAGGTCAACACCTACACTCTAGAGTCTATATGGCCTCCATTCCAGTTTTCGTACAAAGATCTTAATGCCTTGTTTTCTTCATTTCTGAAGTGGCGACCATAGCAACATCTACCCGAAAATATTACCATTATTATTGAACAAGGTGATGTAAATGAACAAGCTTCAAAGTTAAACAAATATCAAGAATTATCCACCAGGTCCTTAATCCTCTGGATCTGAGCCTCCAGGCCCATAGATTATGTGCTGTCCAATGAGTCACTACCACTCTGACTCCATCACCCTCAGTGACCCTGCCCACCTCCAAGTCATCAGAAGTTTGTTTCTGATTCCAGTTTGGATTTCTGAATTCTAGAACAATGACTCTGAAGTCAATAGCCAGACTTGATACTGTGTTTTAAAATATTTAATTTTATTTATCATTATTATTTTCCATTTGCTATCAGACACGTGTGCTCACCAGAGAGAGAGAGAGAGAAAGCTGCCAGGTCCAGGACTCAAACCATGGTCAGCCATGTGAGAGTCCAGAGCCTCAACCATCCACCTGCTGGTCTCCAGACCTGATACTGTTTAAGTGGCTACCTAAGAATGAGCAAATTTGATTGGTTTCTGCAATACTGACAGTCAATTGTCAATCAAATTCCCAAGAAAATTCACTGAGGATTCAACACTGAGGGTAGCATAATACTGAGACCACCAGCATAGCTGTGAAAGAGTTAGTCAGCAGTGGTTCAAACCCCAGCTCTGCCAGTTGTTGTTACTTAGATGAATTTGGGCATATTATTTTTGCTAGGCCTATATTTCTGAGTTTTAAAATTTGGACAATACTATAAATTACAAGATGCAAAATAGCTCAATGAATAGCAATCATTTTTAACAGCAGCAGCAATAAACCCCTTTATAAATAACGAAAACTGAAAAAGTTGTTTTTACAGATAGCAGCCATAAGTCCTGCTGACATCTGCTATGAGGAAACTCTATCAACATTAAGATATGCTGAAAGGTATGTTTATGACCCATAAGTGGCTCTTAGTTCTAAATCTGGCAAACTTTTCTAGAGCACTTATACTTAATGGATTAGCATTTGCAGAGAGGGTCCAGGGAAAGGAGAACAACATAATTTGTGAGAGGAATGGAAGGAAGTAAATTAGAAGAGAAAGAACTGGAAACTTGGACCCCCTCAGAGCTGATTATCATTCTGTTACTCGAGTCCTAGATGGGAGAGGAGCCTGGGGCTCAAACTAAAGAAAAGGCACTGACGCCAATCCCGATTGATTAGTTATCTGTCTCCTGTCAAATAGCAATGACCGCTCACAGATTTCTCCCACACAGGGAGAGAATAGTGCTGGGCAGGGGATTTTAGTTTTATAATAAATGAAGATGTGGGATCAGCAGGTGGCATAATGGTTAAGGTGCTGGACTTCCAAATGGCCAACCATGGCTCAAGTTCCAGACCCGGTGGCTTGAAACTCATGCCAGGTGCATGTGTCTGCATGCCCAAAATCCCAAAAGGAGAATGGAGGAGGAGGGATTGTAGCATGGCCATCCATCCCCCTACACCCCCAGAGGGATTGTAGCATGGCCATCCCCCTACACCTGCAGGGAGGTGATGTATCACTTTCTTTCTGTCTCTCTGGTGAGCACACGTGCCATAGAGGAAAAATAAACAAACAGACAAACAAAAACCCAGCTCTCTATAACTAACTAACTAAACGAGTGAATGAATAGATGGTCACGTAAGAAAAACTGCATTCTCTAGCCCTGCAACTCCCAGACACACCAGCATTCCCTTTTCTTGGTTGTCTCATTTCCCAGGACCCACACAACAGATGATACCTCTTAGGAGAAGGCCCGAAGGGTGCAGGTGTCTCTTCACCAAAGAGGGACTATGGTAGTCAGGTTCCTTCCTGTCTAGCTAGTTTGGGGCACAAGCCCAGTCAGGTTAGCACTGGCAGGAGGCTGCTGCTGAGCCATGCTCCTGTACTTCAAGGTAGGCATCTGCAGCTCATTCTAGGTCCGCTTCTCCTGAACCTTCGCAGAGAGGTGACGGTACTGGAGAGGGGCGTCTCTGACGATGAATAGAAACTTTCCCACTTGCTGCCCTGCCTCCTCTTCCTCACACACAAGGGGACACTGAGAACCCACCACTGCAGGTCTCCCCCTGAGTCCAGGCAGAAACTGGAATTCATAAGCAGTTAGAGATTGACACATGAGATGAAATTTATGTGCCAAACCTAGTATGTCAGCTGTTAGGACTATAAACGCAGGTCAGACAGATGCTGGCCCTAAATGCTACATGGCCTTGGACAAGATACCAAACCTCTGACAATCTTTTTTTTTTTTTTTTTGGGGGGGGGGTTTCTTATTGGATGCGTGTGCTCACCAGAAAGACAGAGAGAGACAGAGAGACAGAAAGCGAGAAATCACCCCCCAGAGGGGATGGCCATGCCACAATCTCTTCTCCTCCATTCTCCTCTCGGGATCATGGGCATGCATGCACACACGCCCAGCATGAGTTTAAACCACCAGGTCTGGGACTCAAACCACGGTCGACTATATGGGAGTCCAGCAACATAGCCATTACGCTAACTGCTGGTCCCCTGAACCTCTAACAATCTGTAACCACATTCACTGAGGCCTAATTTCTCATTCACAGCACTGAGTGAAGACCATGTGAGATTATGTAGGAACTGTTACAGACAAAGATCTGCATGACATATGGGTGATCCTCAAAACTATGGCGAGGATTATGCCATCAAGTAACTGCCTCTGCTCCTGGTGTTTCCTCTGGCCATTTTCTCAGTGACAGAGCCCTTGCACTTAACTGACAAATTCTGTTCTTTTCTTTTTGTTTTTTTTTTTTTGTTGTTGTTGTTTAGTTTGCTATAGGGTGCATGTGCTCAATGGAGGGATGGCCATGCTGCAATCTCTTCTCTTCCATCTGCTCTCATAATTTTTTTGACACACACACACACGCACACCTGGCAGGAATTTCAAGTCACATGGACTCCAATCATAGTTGGCCATGTGGGATCCAGCACCTTAACCTCCAAATCACCTAGTGGCCTTCATTCTCTCTTCACTGAACAGCTTTGACATGGTTTCAAACCCTAAGACATTTTCTTCCAGTATCTGCAACATAAACTCCGATCTTTAGGTCAAAATTTGTCTATGGTGGTATCTAGAGTGTTTATTTTCTCCCTATTTATCAAATGTAAGTCTATTAGTAGCAGTTTTTACCCATGAGACCATGTGATGCAGAGGACAGAAAAAAATGGTACCAGAGGTCCTGTGCTCTAGTTATGTATCTGCCACGGACTATGACTCGGGCATGCCTTGCAAACTCTTTCGATTTCCTCTGCATAAAACGAATGTAGGAAAGTTATCAGTTTTAGCAAATAAAAGTGCAAGATGCTCAGTTGGGTTTCAGGTAAAGAATATGTTTTTGTGTAAGTACGTCCCATGCAGTAATGGGGGGCATCTGCTGTTTTCTCTGGCAACACAGCAACAACCTCTTAGCCAGGTGTGCATGGCAGAGCAATTGCTGGCAGCCCCAGGATTGAACAGATCCTTGAATTAAGTGAGTCAGCCCAACTGGCCAGAGTGTGCTCAGGCCCCAGGGCGAGGTTGGTGTTGAGCTGCGCATGCAGGCACTGGTCTTTGTGGTTTAGTGGTGGAGTCCCCCGTGCCCCGGGTGAAAGGCTCCCACTCTGACTGAGACCTGAGAGGGCCTTGTTACTTCCAGTGCCCTTGGTGGTGCTGTTCTTACAGCCGGTGTGTGAGGGTGGGTGCGCCTGTCTGTCCAGGCCTGAGAGTGTGTTTGTCTTTGCATATGAAAAGGGCCAAAAAGATCCGGAACAAAGCTGTGGTCAACACCTGGAGACTGATGTCAGAGTCCAGGGCAGAGAACTACGAGCTGCTGGTCAGGTGTGGAAACTCCAGGATGGCAGGTAAACCAAGGCAAGAATCAAAGCTGAGACCAAGCCTGGGGCAGGGCCACCTCTATCCCACCTGGCATAGATTCCAAGGGGAGCCCTAGGGCAGCCCCAGGGACTGGGTAGCACCTCTGGGTCCAGAATATTTTGGTTCTGTTCCTTTTAAACAAAAATAAGACAAATACTTTCTTTTGAGATGAATGTAGGCTCTCTTTCGGTGGTAAGAAATAATGGTGCTGTTTTTTGTTTTGTAGCCTCTGCCCTTTTTAAATGGTCATTTTTGTCTCCGTTTTTACTGCTAATTTTATTTTGAGGCCACTATTTCCTTACCAGATTTCGGTGGTAGCTAGCAGCATTTATCCTGCCGATGGCTTCATGCGGTCAGGCCGTGCTGCAAGTTCTGGAAGCCTTCGCAGCAGCCACCCTGCTGAGAGCTGTACATTAGTCACCTGGTGACACCCATTAGACTCTCAGGGAAGGCTGTCGCTGCTGAAGTGTCCCAGGTGATTCTAATGTGCAACCCTCGTGAACCACATTGGTCCCAGGCAGTGGTAAAGTACCGGCCTGCAATGCCAGAAGCCATATGGAAGACTGGGGTTCTGCCTGGCACGGAGGTGCACACGTGCTTGTCTGTGATCCCGGCTGGCTGAGAGGCAGGGGCAAGGACAGAGACTGTGGTGTGAGACCCTGTTGAGGGTGCTTGCCTGCCTGTTTCTCTCATGAGAAAAAAAGGAACTACTGCTTTAAGCAAAGACCTCAGATTACAGTTTGGCAGCATAAAGATGTGTATCTTTTAATGCCTAGTCATGATTTTTTTTTTTTTTAAATTTTTACTTTTAAATTTGACTAGAGAGAGAGAAAGGGACAGTGAGAAAGCAAGCCATCAGATCTGGGACTTGAACTATGGTTGGCCATATGGGAAACCACCCCAACCATCACAATACCTGCCAGCCCCCTATTAATTATTTTAAACAAAATGACTAAAAAATAAAAAAGAATTGAAGTAAGTTAATTAATATTCATCATCAAAACAGCATCAACAGATCCAAAGCCTTTTGTGCTCAATGCTCTTGACCGTCGCTGGCCTGCCCTTGGTGCTTGTTTTCCTCCTCCAGTGGGGCCCCCTGCTAATAGAGGGGTTTCCTGGTAGAGACATCTCCAGCACCTCCTTCCATCCCTCACACCGGGCTACCTCAATGGATGGCGGCTCAGACAGCGCCCCGACTGGCGCATCTCAGGCTACCACGGCCCAACGCACTCAGGCTTCAACTCCAACAAAGCACTTCCTGAGTTAATGCCACGGCTGCTCGAGGCACAGCTCTGGTTGTCACAAACCTCTGCAACGGCAAAAACTGGATGTGCCAGGCGTCAACCTACAGACAGCACCTAAGTCCATCATTCATAAGCACAGACACGGATACGTGAAAGACAACATCAGATAAATCCAATTCTTCCCGACCTTCCAGAAATTCCCTGTAACAACAACATACAAACACTTTCACATGCCCACACAAGTGGAAAACAACACTGAGCTTCGTGGGTCCCTCTTCAAAGACTGCATTGCCTAATGGCTTATGAATGAGAAGGTGGTGCTGCTCTGTGGGACTTACCAGCTGGTTTCTTCTTCCCAGCTAAGTGCGTTTCAGTTTCCCCTCCCGCTGGGATCCTAGGTTTCAACTGAGAATTGAATTGAGCTTGGCCTTGGCGCATGTTTTCGTAGTTACTCTGTGCCTCACCTCTGCCACTGCAGACCTGGTACTTAAATCATCTCCCTCCTTCCAGAGCAGCCAGCCTGTTTCCTGCCAGAACACCAGCTTGGGGCTCATGCTAATCAGGCAACCTGGGCACACCTGCTGGAGCAGGCGCAGAAAGAATGGGAGCAGCAGTACGTGGCCATGGCCCAGGTGAGCTTCGCTCCTCCTCTGTGGCGGCTGACCACCCAGACGGGGCAGCCTTCCACACACGGCAGTGCAGACTGCTGTCAGGTCCCTGATTGTGATGAGGTTTTCTCAGTGAAGGTGTGCCGCGTGATGTAGGACTTGCGATAATACTACTAGGCGTTTGGGGAGAGAACGCAGAACATGATGGAGGGAAGCAGACCGCTCTTGGTGCACATTGATGAGGGAGGGAGGCTGAAAGTGGCATCTAGGGTAAAATTCAAGGCCGCTGGCAGAACCTGCAGACAATTGGAGGGACAGTTGTCTTCTGGGGACCGTATGGAGTGACCTGAATTACGGCATCGATGCTGGCTTTCACTGCCAATGTCAGACCGTAAGTGTGAATTTCTCTATGGGTGCAGGAGATGCCCTCTCTGCTTCCCCTCACCATTCCCTGATGGCCTTAGTCCCCACAGCCATGAGGTTCTGGGCAAATCTCAACATCAAGGACCAGACCTGGGAGAGGCCGGCCTGGCTCCTGTGAAGCCTGGAGTAGGCCTTAGGTGGCGGGAGTAGAGTGGGGAAGGGGTTTGTGGCTTCAGGAGACCAGATCACCTTAGAGGCCCAGGATTCTAAAGGTCTGGGGATGACAGGGGTGTGGCCAGAAACTATGAAAGTAAAATTCTATGTAAACGGTGACAGGGTTTGTAACTCTTGGATGAAAGGTCAAGGAGGAGTCAGAGGTGCAAGGATTCGGGATTTTGTGTTCTGTAGAAGAATTTTTATCCTCTTTACTCTTAATCAGCAAGAATTTCAAGATCTAGAAGTTTACTTTCTGCCTGATTAGTCTATTCCAGTGTGTTTGACTATTGGTTCTCTATAAGCACAACACTGACCAATTCTTGTATCTAAGAATGAAACACATTTAGGTAAGCGGGAGACAGTTCCTGCAACGTGCCTCTTTTTGCCACCAGGCATCGGATGATCAATTGGCTAGCCAGCAGGACCGTGGGAGAATGAAGTTTTTTGTTTTATTTTGTTTTGTTTTAGAGACATTTTTGTTATAGGGTGTGTGCGCTTGCCAGAGAGACACAGAGAGAGACAGAAAGTGAGAAATCACCCCCCAGAGGGGATGGGTATGCCGCACTCCCTTCTCTTCCATTATCCTATCGGGATTTGGGACAAGCATGCACACATGCTCAGCATGAGTTTTAAGCCCAGAGTCCGGGACTCGAACTGCAGTCGACTATGTGGGAATCCAGCAATGTAACCATTATGCCATCCACTGGTACCAGAGAATGAGGTTTAATGGAGACACAGGGAGGGGCTGCCCAGCTGGGGCACCAGAGTGGGACAGCTGGGGAGCAGGGAGCCCATCACACCAGGGGCCTAGAGAAAGTGGTGAGGGGGGTAGTCAAGGTGGAAGGGGGCAGTGAGAGACAGCTGGGAGCAGGACAGGCGGAGACCGGCTGTACCTTGGAATAGTCTTGTCCTGGTGCGCTCAGGCTTCGAGGATTTCATCCCTGCTGTCAGCGATGCCTTCTGCCCCACCGGCTCTCCTCCTTTACCCACCAGATTGACAAGATGCAGGATGCTCCACTCTGATGAGAATGGGTGGGAAGGGAACACAGCTCTCTGTAGTGGGCTGGCCAGCCTGGTGACGGGACCCTCTCTGTGTCTCTCCAGGAGCGGCAGATGATGAAGACCCTCCCTCACCTTCTCAATGTCAATGAGGACCCACAGCTCACCGGGGTCCTCAAGTTCTTCATTCAGGCTGGTACTTACTTCTCCAGACTCCTGCTTCTGCTCGGGCTTCTTGTCCCATGGGCATGATTTCCCTTTCTTTTTATTTTCTTTCTATTTGTTTATTTTTTTAAAGTATTCATTCAATTTTTATTTATTCATTCATTTATTTTAATATGACCAGAGAGAGACACAGAGAAAGAGAGAGAAAGTAAGAAAGCAAGCCACCAGGTCTGGGACTTGAATCACGGTTGACCATGTGGGAGTGTCCAGAGCCTTAATCACCCCACCACCTGCTGGCCCCTTCTTTCTATTTATTTTTAATGTTGTAAAATAAACATAACATAAAAGTCATCATTTCAACCTATTTTTTTAAAAAAGGTTTATGCAATAAGATGTGTGTGCTTGCCAGAGAGAGACAGTGAGAGGGAAAGTGAAAAATCACACCCCCTGGGGGGGATGGCCACATCACAATGCCTTCTCCTGCATTCTCCTCCAGGATTTTGTACACACGTGCACACGTGTGAATCTCAAGTCCCTGGTTCGGGACTTGAACTGCAATTAGCCATGTGGGAGTCCAGCACCTTAACCACCATGCCACCTGCTGGCCCCGTCATTTCAACTTTTTTAAGAGTACCACTAAGTGGCATTAAGAACGTTGCACCATTGTGCAACCATCACCACTATCCATCCTCAGAACTGTTTCGTCTTCCCAAACTGAAACTCTGACCATTGAACGGTCTCCGTTTCCCCTGCTCCAGGCCCCAGTAATCGCAGCTTTGCTTTCCATCTCTACAAAAATTCTATTGATTATTTTAGGTTCTTCATACAAGTAGAATCACAATATTTGTCTTTTTGTGTCTGCTTAATGTCCTCAGGGTTCTTCATCAATCATGTGTTAAAATGTCCTTCCTTCTTTTTTTTTAACTCTTTTTTTTTAAGACAGATTTTTGCTGTAGGGCATGTGCACTTGCTGGAGAGACAGAGAGACAGAAAGTGAGAAATAATTCCTGGCCACGCTGCAATCCCTTCTCCTCAGTTCTCCTCTCGGGATTTTGGGCACGCATCGGCACATGCCCAGTGTGAGTTTTAAGTTGCTGGGTCTGGGACTCGAACCGCAGTGGATGATGTGGGAGTCCAGTGATGTAACCATTATACCATCTGCTGGTCCCTATCCTTCCTTCTTAAGGCTGAATAATACTTCCTCGTATGTATGCACCACATTTTGTTCATCCATTATCCAGGCATGATTTTTTTTTAGAGTTTTTTGCTACAGGGCTCATGTGCTCGCCAGAGAGATAGAGGGAGACGGAGAGACAGAAAGCGAGAAATCCCCCCCGGGGGGGTGGATGGCCACGCCGCAATCCCTTCTCCTCCATTCTCCTCTCGGGATCTTGGGCACGCACGCACACGTGCCTGGTGTGAGTTTAAGCCACCAGGTCCAGGACTTGAACCATGGTCGACTGCATGGGAGTCCAGCGACATAGCCATTATGCCAACTGCTGATCCCAGCTGAGCATAATTCTTATTACCACATCTTTGCTTAGTAGTTTCTGAGAGGAATCAGCCCTTGAAGTGCCTTCTTCATCCAAACGAATACTGAACACGAAGGAATACGGCACGTGGCGTTGTAGTAACAGCCCTTGGCTCTCCCCTCCCTAGCTGCTATGCACACCCATGATGGTGAGGGCTCCATGCAGGATGGCAGTGGGGATTGTGTGTAGAGGATTAGGCCCACTCAGAAGCCAGCAGTGACACACTCTGTGGGGTCAGTCACTAGACAGAAACAGCAACAGAGCTTCAAAGCCCAGAGGCTTTCCTGTGGTTTGTCTTCACTATGTCTCCTAACAACCAGACTTAATATTTCCTTCCTCTAGAATTATCATGAAAAATATGGAATTTTTTAAAAATTTAGGAATCAGGACCAGCAGATGGCATAGTGGTTACACTGCTGGACTTCCACATGGTTGACTGCGATTCCAGTTCCAGACCAAGCGGCTTGAAACTCATGCCAGGAACGTGTGTGTGCATGCCTAAGAACCCAGGAGGAGAATTAAGAAGGGACGGCAGTGTAGCCATCCCTCCTGATGGAGTGATTTCTCACGTCTCGTCTCACTGTCTTTCCCTGTCTCTGGTGAGCACACATGCCCTATAGCAAAAATCCTCCTAAAAAAAAAAAAAAAAAGGAAAGAAAGAGAGAAAGAAAGGAAGAAAAATTATCTACAAAGCAAGGTCATGTCCAAAAATACCATTTTATTAAAAATCCCAGTTGGGAGACCAGCAGATGGCTTAGCAGTTACATTGTTGGACTCCCACATGACCAACCATGGTTCAAGTCCCGGACCTGGAGCTCATGCCTGGCGCGTATGCATGCATACCCAAGATCCCAAGAGGAGAATGGAGGAGAAGGGATTGTGGTATGGCCATCCCCCATGGGGATGGTGGGGATGATTTCTTTCTAGCTCACTGTCTCTCACCGACAAGTGCATGTGCCCTATAGCAAAAATCTCTCAAACAAACAAACAAAAAATCCCAGTTGGAAAATTCTGTAGCATGATCCTGTCACATTTAAAACATTAGATATATTAAATTATTAAGGTCAAATCCTGAAATTTTCTGAAAATAAGTTACCCTAATTCTTTTCAGGCTCATGTGATGCTGGTCAAGCTGCTTCGAATGCTATCACTCTGCAAGGTCTGGGGTAAGTTTCCGTGAATCAGCACCTCTGTCCAGTAGTAGAAAATCATGACTACTTGGGCCACAGGAGATGCTCAAAGGCCCTCTGGCCATGGGCCAGCCAGGCCACCAACCTGCTAGACCAGCAAGAAAAGGAAATCTCCCAGACCTTCTTCAGTGACCACTCTAATGCTTCCCAGCGAAGCACTGGGAAGGTCTTACTCTCTAACTGAAATGCACTCCACTGTGGTCATTGCTTCCTTGGCTCTAACCTTGGGAGAAAAGGGGAAGTCAGTTGCCAGGTAATTCTTCCTGAATAGGTAGAAGCAGATCTAGACCAGGAATGAAGATTGTTCAGAGGACAAGTGCACCAGGCTAGTCTTTCACAGTTTCATTGCCAAGGCAAATGCATCTTCAGATCTTAGTGCTCGAAGACCTCATCAATTGCATTCTTTTTTTCATAAGGCAAAATTTTATTTAGGACACTCTTTAGCAGTACATAACTCAGAAGCACTACTTAGGTACAACAAAGTTGGATATGATGCTAAGCAGCTCCAGTCTTCAAAACAAATGAGTAAGATCTAAATTTGCTAGAACTTAGTAACCTTAAATTAGTAATCCTCAAATTTCATTAGGGCCCTGTAGCTTTTAAATAAACAAGATTAGAATGAGCTCTAGTTTTGATCCTAAGTATATCATGGCAATTATATGAAGTGATTTGAACAAAGGTGCATATAAACTTTCATCAAAACGAAATTTTGGAGCCAGCAAGTGGTGTGGTGGTTAAGGGTGCAGGACTCACACATGGCTGACCGAGGTTCTAGTCCTAGACGTGGTAGCGGGCTTTTTCTCTCTCTCTCTGGTTAAAGAAAATAAATAAATAAATAAATAAAGTTAAATAAAATAATTCTCTAACCAAAAAAAGGTTTTTTCACAGAGGTAAAATATTGATGCCATAACCAAACCACATGGCTCGGTTTCATAAAGATGACTAAATTTTCCTCAGGACTAGCAGTTAGTGTAATGGCTATGTCGCTGGACTCCCATATAGTCGACCACGGTTCGAGTCCTGGACCGGGTGCCTTAAACTCACGCTGGGCACATGTGCGTGCATGCCCAAGATCCTGAGAGGAGAATGGAGGAGATAGGATTGCGGCGTGGCCATCCCCCCTGGGGTGTGATTTCTTGTTTTCTGTCTCTCTGTCTCTCTCTGTCTTTCTGGTGAGCGCACGAGCCCTATAGCGAAAACCTCTCTTAAAAAAATAATAAATAAATAAATAAATAAAGATGACTAGATTCTCTACAGAAGAAGATGAAGTGGTCTTTCTATCCTAGCTTACCCTATTCTTAACTTGTCGTTATTCCAGTTCTTCTTAAGTTTGTGCTATAACTGGCTGCCATCTGGTAAGGGCTGCAGTTACTATGAGAATGAGCAGAGGGAATTAGATGTTAAATATCTAGGTTAAGAATCTCTAGGGGGGCTGGCAGGTGACATGGTGGTTAAGGGCACTGGATTCCCATGTGGCTGACCACGGTTTGAGTCCCAGACCCAGTGGCTTGCTTTCTCATTTCCCCTCTCTCTCTTTCTTTCTCATTCTGTCCCTCTAGTCAAATTTAAATAAATAAATAAATAAATAAAAGATAAATAAAATAATTTTTATAAAAGAATCTCTCAGAGGAGTCTCATTAGAAAATTGAGTTGTACAGGAACTTAGGCAAAAAAACATTTTAATGAATGTGTGAGCTTTCAGGTGATAACATCTCTTCAAAGATCCCCTATGTAAAGAACCCATGAAAAACAAAGATATTTTAAAAAATTAACAATAGAAAAAGATCATTTGATCAAAGTGAGGAAGACAGTTTAAAATATTTACAAAAAGGAAAAATGTTCAGAATAAAATAATATGTACAGATGTTAGAAAGATTATTAATTTTTGGCCATCATGAGCCTTCTTCAAGCTCCCAAAATCTTTACTTTCTTCTTCCATTCTTGATCATATTTCTTTATTACTCTTCCGTGGGCTGGAGATGAGGTTGTTTGTACATTTTCTTGTGGAAGGTAACTCTATTTACATGGTCACTCAGATAAATTGCTTTTTTAGATTTCCCCCCTGGTTCATTCAGCTTTCCTTCGTGTGGCTCATAATTGAGGGGACGAAACAAACTTGCTTTCAGATCAAACACTGGTTTCTTAGTGGAGTCTGCAATGCCTCAGTTGTCAACCTGAATGGTGTAGTACCAGCAGCAGAATTCCTCCCAGCCGTCTTTAACTTGTGTGGCTCAATCACAGTCTGGCCTTTTGGGGTGCTCCCAGATACAATCTCATGTGGAGATGTTATGGCTGGAGTCTTGGTCAGTGAACGTTTATTCTCATTATCCTTAGAAGCAGCTGAGAACCTAATGTTCATTTTAGTTGTTGAGAGGGCTGAGTGTCTGATCCACCCCTTCAGACACAAGGTGCTCCGACTCACGTGGCCCTGAGACCAGCCTTGTGAGCACTGCCGGCTGATGGGCATACAAGCCAGAGGGTCTTCTCAGATGAATGGGAGTCACTACTCTCCCCTCCTTACTCGTGGGCTGCTTCTTCAGTTCATTAAATCAACTGCGTTCTTCAAAATGTTTTTCTCTCACTATATTGACCAGTGGATTCCATTTCCTTGAAATGAGCCTCATGAAGCTTCTTCAAAGTTTAGTATTTGCAGTTCTTTTATTTTTTCCAGGTTTGGAAAACCCATTTGTGTAGACAGACTTCTTTCCTGAAGGTACCTTTGCAACTTTGTAAGCATTTCTTCTGCTTTTTTTCCTGAGGAAAAACCCATTTGTGCTGCTTGGCTCTCCTCTGCTTGGCTCTCCTCTGATGGAGAAGCAACTTTCGTTGTAGTTCTGAGATCCAGGTTTTCCTGCTTTTCTTGATTCTGGAGCTCAGTGGGATCACTTGTTTCTGTCTCTGCATGATCCTGGGAGTCAGGATTCCTGACCAGCAGCTTGCTCTCTGCTTGCTGCTGACTGCTGCTTTGTATCTGTTTCATCACAAGAGGGCGCAGAAATCTGATTTTCATCCTGATTCCTGTTTAAGGTGAGCGTTCAAGGCTTTAACGACGTGTCTACCCTGGTTTTTTTGTTTGTTTGTTTGTTTTTGGAGAGATTTTCACTGTAGGGCGCGTGCGCTCGCCAGACAGACAGAGAGAGACATAGAGACAGAAAGCGAGAAATCACCCCCCAGGGGGGATGGTCACGCCGCAATCCCTTCTCCTCCATTCTCCTCTCGGGATCTTGGGCACCCACGCACACGTGCCTGGCGTGAGTTTTAAGCCACCAGGTCCGGGACGTGAACCGTGGTCGACTACGTGGGAGTCCAGCGACACAGCCATTACGCTAACTGCTGGTTCCCTACCCTGGTTCTTGACTAAGTTCTGAAGGTTACTGTACTTGAAAGAGTCCAGCTCCTCGAGGGAGGAGACGGACGGTCACCCTGATCTGCAATCTGGGCAATATGCAGACAAGCGGTCCACAAATTCTAGCAGCGCCATTCAAACATCTGGTGCCACTCTGAGTGTTAACCAAGCGGATCTTTATAGGCACTTTAAATTGAAAATGCTCCATCTCCATTGGCTGAAAATGTCTCGACGGCTTCGTCAACTGCATTCTAAAAAGCTCAGACCTTAGGGTGAGCCCCCTCCCCAAAGACTCTCTCAGAAAACCCCTGAAGGAGCCCTATGAAGTCCTAGGGAGGGCTTCATACAGCCAGAGTTGTCCCCCAGCTCTGCAGCCTCTGCTCAAGAGGTTTCTACCCTAGGGTTCACTCTCTGGTTTCCAGAACCCCTGTGTCCCAACTGACCACAGGTTTCTAGCCAATAGGTATGACCAGCAATTGTAGAAAGAGACTAACTGGGGGCCAGCAGGTGGCATAGTAAGTAGTTAACTTGGCCAACTGCAGTTTGAGTCCCAGACCAGGCAGCTTGCTTTCTCACTCTCTCCTCTCTTTTTCTCTCTCTTTCTCTCTCTCTTGTGAGTGTGTGTGCTCTGGGGCTAAATAATAATAATTAATAAAAATTAAATACATTCTTTAAAAAAAAAAAAACAGAAAGAGGCTTACTGACCAGTCTTCCTGATTCATCTCAGCTCTCCCAAGTCAAAGCACATAGGCCCTTGTGTGGCGGGGGTATGGAGGCAGGTGCTGACTGAGGGGCCAGCTGGTATCACCTCACCCTGCACCTCCAGCTGTCTTTGGACTTCTTCCTGGAGATTCCCCTCATCTCCCTTTCCAGACCAGGGCTCTGTGCAAAATGGCAGTGAGGATCTGGGGGGTAGAGAGCCAGGCCCACCCAGAAGCCAGCAATGACACTATATGGGTGACTGAAATAGAACTTTAAAGGTCAACACATACAGATGTTTAAATGACTGATATCAAAATCTTTCACCCCATGTGAACAAAGAATAAAAAATAGGAGTGAACATGTACCTAAACATCCAGAACATTCTATGACAGCCAAGGAGTCCAGAAAGAGTCTAAGAAAGCAGGAAGCTGGCCATTCAGGGCACACAGATGATGTCCCAGGGGCAGCGGGTCTGACATTTCTGACACCCAGAAAGAGCTTACAATCTATAGTCTCATTTTTATAGATCAACACCCAAAAGCAGACCTAAACTGACCTGCAATAGTTAGGCTCACTGGGGAGTGTCCCGGCCCGCAAGACAGTCGAACAGGTTTCCTGAAGGAAGGAGTGAGAGACTGGATGAACGGCGCACTGTCACAGCACGGAGACGACGCAGTGTCTCTTCAGGGTCATCCGGAGACAATGCGGTGTCACAACTCAGGGTCGTCCGGAGATGACACAGTGTCACGGCTCTTCAGGGACTTCAGGGTCGTCCGGCAATTATGGGCCAGACACATGTTGGTGGGCCATGGTTGGTTGAATGAAGGATAGTAAAAGGTGGGTTAAGATTGGTTGCTTTGTGGACCAATCATGAGGTGCCGGATATGCAAATCTGAGGGATTCTAAGCTCACCGATTTGCTATGGGAAGTGGCCAATCAGAGTATGGTTTTGAAGGTGAGGTTTTTGAAGGGGAGCCAATTGTGGTCTTTGTAATTGTTTGCTCTCTGAGCCTAAGATGGCAATAGTAATAGACTCATGAAAATGGCCACCCCATCCCACTGGCTTGTGAGCTCTTGATGTCTGCCACTCTCACTCCTTGCAGCTACAGGCTGTGTTCGTTCTAATAAAAGAATTGCTTTGTCTTCTCCCAACTCCCAGTGCTCCTGAAGGGCAGGGTCCCTCGCACCTGCTGCTGTTTCCAAGACAAAGTCTTCATGCCATTGAGCTGTAGATCTCATAGTGCAAATGAGAAAGAACAACCTAAACTATTGACTAACATTGGAACTTACTGGGCGATTCAATCTCTCATCTTCTTAGAATTTCAGATAAACACGCCTCCTTCACAAATCTGGATGGTAAAGTGACGGTTACTCCACACAGCAAATGCAAGGTTGTCGTTAATGGGGTGCCCATCACCACCAAGACAAAGCTGCAGCATTTGGTAAACTTCCCTGCTGGGCTACAGAATTTCCCAAGTCCTGCCCCAGAGCTGGGAGAGCAGGTCCTTAGGAGGTGGCCCATGTCACAGCCATGGTGAGGTGCTGGACAGGGCTGGGGGGGGTGAGGTCATAAGACTCACTAAGGCCTCATGGGAATGACTGAGGCACAGCCACAGTGACAGTAACACACAGCAACTCGCTGTGTATTCTCTGGCATGTCACTTCACTTATCTGACCTCACCTGTAAACCAGCAGGGTTGGACTAGAGGACCTCCAAAATCCTTTTGAAGCTCTGTTTTATGACAACTCGTTTTTTTTGTTTGTTTGTTTGTTTTGTTTTGAGATCTGTCACTGAGGGATTACACAACATCTTACAAACATTAGTCCCTCTTCATCTCGGCCCTGTCACCCTGGTGGAGCCCCTCACCCTTACCGCACCTCATGCTGCTATGACCCCCTCTGAGACTCTTGAGACAGCCCCCTGGGATGAACCACTCCCCTTTTGGGACCTCTTCAGGGACCCCCTTACAGATACCTGAGGGGGCTGGCCCTGCCTCAGCCTGCTGTACCACACCCTGGCCTGGTCCCACATACTCCCTGTCCTGTGGTAGGGGCCTCTGTCTCATCATGACACTGTCCCGTTCAAAGTCTCAGTTTAAATACTCATCTTCCAGGGCTGCCCTCATTCTGGTTTAAGGCAGGAGGGGACACCTGCTGGGGGGAGGTCTGTTTGGTACCCATGGATTACAGGCAGTGCCAGACCGGGAGTCAATGCCCAGTGTGTGGATGACGATCACCCCCCACACACACACAAACACACACACACTAGGGGCCTCCATCCTGTCTCTGTCTGGGATTCCCCAGGGGAACGTTTCTCAACTTCTTCTGGCACCTCCGCTGAGCCTCGGGCTCCTCCCCAGGACCGCCTCATTTTGGGCTCCAACAGCGCCTACCTCTACATTGGGCTTCCTTCAGAGCGTGGTGGCAGCGAGGACTGGGGCAGGTTCGACTACCACTTTTTCCAACTGGAGAGAGCAGCTGCGGAGGGAGTGAGCGTGGACAAGCTTGGTGAGTGACCCCGCAGACTACCCCCCTACACACACACCATCTCCCTAGGCTTCCCTGAAAAGCAGCTGGCACGGTGGCAGAGTACACAGTTTAGAAAGCTGGGACCAGTAGGTGGCGTAATGGTTTTGTGGCTGGACTCCTACCTAGGCGGCCCTGGTTCGAGTTGTGGACCAGGTGACATAGAACAGCTGGGAGCGCACGCATGCGTGTGTGTGTGTGTGTATGTGTGTGTGTGTGTGTGTGCATGCACCCCACATCCTGAGAGGAGACTGTAGAAAGGATTGCGCGTGGCCATCCCCCTGGGGGTGATTTCTTGCTGTCTCTCTGGAGAGCACACGGCCATATGGCAAACATCTCTCTCTGAAACAAAGAAAAAGAAAGTTAAGGTAGGATTTCCATATATACACCCAGTGGGCGCACATTAGAGATTCAGTTAGCTCACTCCCTGAGCTGCTACCCTCCCGGATGAGGGTAACGATAAACCAAACCGGCCAGTACAGGTCCTGGGGAGAAAAGGCTCCTTAGTGGTCTCAACCCATCAGAACCTGCAGGGCCCAAAATCCTACTGCCCAACAGCTAGAAACGCCCACTGGGAGCCTGTCTGGGCTGGAGAGATGGTGAAGAACAAAACACATGCCCTGGCCCTGGGTTTCTGAGTCAAAGATCTCTCACTTCTTCCCTCAACCCACCCCTGCCCCACCATTGGTTTTCTGATAGGTAAGAGCTTCAGAAGCTCTAAAGTCTGCTTGCACCTCTCTCCCAGCCCAGCTCAGCCCAGCCCAGCCCAGCTCAGCCCAGCTCAGCCCAGCTCAGCCCAGCCCAGCCCAGCCCAGCTCAGCCCAGCCCAGCCCAGCCCTCACCTCTTTGCCCTAGACCCCATTCACTGTGCTCAGGGTGCACTTGAGGATGGACACCCTTGACATCTTTGAGATGTGCAGGTTTTTGCAAGGAGGCACCTCAGCCATGCTTAATAACTCAGGGTGGAGACCGGCAGGTGGTGTGGTGGTTAAGGGCACTGAACTCCCACATGGCCAACTGCAATTCAAGTCTGGACCTGGCAGCCTGCTTTCTCACTTTCCCTCTCTCTCTGTCCTCTCTAGTCAAACTAAAACAAACAGACAAATAAATAAATTAAGGTAAAGAAAATAATTCTTAAAAAAAAAAAACTGGTACCAGCCATTGGCGTAATGGTTATGTCACTGGACTCCCATGTAGTTGACTGCGGTTTGAGTCCCAGACCCAGTGGCTTAAACTCACACTGGGCGCGTGTGCGTGCGTGCCCAAGATCCCAAGAGGAGAATGGAGGAGAAGGGATTGTGGCATGACCATCCCCCCCGGGGTGTGATTTCTCGCTTTGTCTCTCTGTCTCTCTGTCTTTCTGGCGAGCACACATGCCCTATAGCAAAAACCTCTCCAAAAAACAAATAAATAAATATAACACAGGGTGGAAAACAATGGTATCTCCCAGAGATATGCAAGAGTTTCTTCCCGTACACCCAAGTGTTCTTAGCAAAATATACATTGATTTGGAATATACCTCCTTCTTTTTCTACTGAAATTCCTGACAAAAGACAAACCAACAGGAATCTATAGTACGAAGCCTGGATAATCCATCTGTTGGTCTATTTATTCTCAAGAGCTGGCTGCACAACTGCCTTCTCAGCCCAGAGCTTGTGGCCTGGTGAGGTTGAGCAAGCCCACCTGGGCTCAGATCCTAGTGAAGACTCGAGACCTCAACAAGACAGCTGTGTGAGCAGCTCTGTGAACCCACAGGCCAGGAGTGCCTGCCAAGAGGTGCTCCAATCTGAGACTCGGAGCGGGTTGGTCCTCCTTTAATCTCCATGGCCCCTTGTCCAAGCCATCCAAAATATAGTAAAGCAAAGGCAGACAGCTCACTGTGCCTGTAGCCGCTTCAGGACAAATGCCCAGATCTTCCTTCTGGACAACCTAACCTTACCTCTGCCACGCCCCCTACCTGGACAGTCTGGAGCCACCTTGGCTCAAAGGCCCTGAAACTGAGACTACAAAGTGGAGGCAGAGGGTCTTGTCATGATGAAGTCAAGATTAATTGACTGGGATGAGCAGCTACTTGAAAAAGTCAGGCACTATCTCCCACCACTCCAACTTAGTTTTTTTCTTTTTCTTTTTTAAATTGCATACTTATAATTCAAAATGTAGCATTTGATGAATAACTGAATGAATGTATAAATTTATTTATGGCTGAAACATATTGCAAAACAAGTATGGTCACGCCGCAATCCCTTCTCCTCCATTCTCCTCTCGGGATCTTGGGCACGCACGCACACGCGCCCGGCGTGAGTTTTAAGCCACCGGGTCCGGGACACGAACCGCGGTCGACTACGTGGGAGTCCAGCGACATAGCCATTACGCTAACTGCTGGTTCCCTCTTTTTCTTTTTTAAATTGCATACTTATAATTCAAAATGTAGCATTTGATGAATAACTGAATGAATGTATAAATTTATTTATGGCTGAAACATATTGCAAAACAAGTAACCAGCTTTTACTTCCACCCTGACTTGGCAAGGTTCAGGGAGCAATGGCGACGGCAAAGCAGACCCCAGCGTCCTGGCAGCATTCCAAGACTACATCAAACTCATGCCACTGGTTGCAGAAGCAAATCAAATGAGTGAAGAGCTGAAGAAGGTGATTTGTCAGAAAGCAACATAATGTTAGGTCCAGCAAGGACCTCATGGTCTTGGGGAAATGAGTTTTCCCAAGATCCCACAGTAGGCGAGTAACTGAACCTAGACTAACATGAGGCCTTCCACTGCTGGCCTACCACAGCCACCAGGACTACAGACGAAGACTTGATGGCCATAACCACCCCATTCCAGGTGGTTCTAAGGCCTCTCTAGGTCTAGGCACTCTGATGGCTGCTATGCCACAGTAAAGACCTGGCTGGAGTTAATTAGCTCTCAGTATCCTAACTAGCAGATTTAAGAGATTTAATTACTTTGCTAAGTGCTTTATTAAGTATTAGTTCCCGGATATCCTGAAACTAATATATAATATAATATAATACATATAATATAATATAAAATGAGATATAATTGAGAAATTCTGGGGCTCTGTCATTTCCTTTGGTGGGAATTCTAAGGAGCAAGAGTTGGACCATTTCTTTTAGAAAACTTGCATGTGATAAGGATGACAAAGATACTGAAAATGTTGTATGAGCCGATAAATGTAAGATTACCTAGTGAGGAGTGTTTTGTTCTGTTCTGTTTTGTTTAACTAGGAACTTAAAATGGAATTGAAGGTGAAGAATTTAGCATCTTCAGATTCCAGGGGATATGATTTACAAAAAGAGGTCGTGGTGAAGGTGATCAACCAAAGGACTCACGAGGTGAAGCTGTGTTTGTGGGTGGGTACAAAGCTCCACAGGGGGCTTTCAAGGAGCTTTCTAGGGACACAGGTTGTTTTTACCAGGTGTAGCCCATGGAGACCCAGTGTCTTAGTCTGTTTTGTGCTGCTATAACAGCATATCATGGACTGGGTAATTTATAAACAATAGAAGTTTATTTGGCTCAATAGAAGTTCTGGAGGCTGGGAAGTCCAAGATCAAGGGCCTGGCATAGTGGGGAGCACCATAGTCCCAGCTACTCATAAGGCTTAGGCAAGAGGATAGTGATACAGTAACACTGCAGCTAAAAAAAGAGAGGGGATCAAACTTGTTTTTATAATAAGTCCACTCTCATGATAACGAAACCACTCCCAAGATAACATTAATCCTGACCACCTCTTAGAGGTCCACTTCTCAACACTGTTGCATTGGGGATTAAATTTCCCACACATGAACTTTGGGGGACATATTCAAACCATAGCACCCAGTGAAGGGGCAAGATGTGTTCTAGGGTTCTGAAGAACAGACCGCAAGAACAAGAGGACCCTCTTCCATGTTTTCTCTTGGTCTCTCTCCCACATAGCACCAATTCTGGGATTTTTCCTGACCACCAGTCATATTTAATATGACTTAAAGGCTTTAGTACCAGAAGGGAGCCGAAAGTTTATGTAATGGGTAATGGTGTCCATGCACGTGCATATGTAAGTGTATGTGCACGCATGTGTCTGCTTGTGTGTAAGAGAGAGATCTGCCATTGTGAAGCCATTGTTAAGACTCAAAAGAAGGACATTCACTAAGCCCAGCGGCTGATCCATTCCTATGTTTCCAGTGCTGTCAGGAAGGTCCTTTTGAGGAACTTGAGACCCTGTTTTCTCTCCTTCTGCTTTCAGAAGAAACAGGAAATGGAAGACCTATTTTATAGCATCGCTTGTTTGCTTGGATTCTGAAGCAGTCCTCAGACTTCTGGCTCCAATGCATGCTCATCTTCAGCCCGTCTTCAGAGGCTTGCATCTAATGCTCAGGTGGACTTCGCAGGAGAGTCCCTGAGCAGATGTCATTGGAGGAAGGGCTGGCTTCAGCCACTGGGTTTTACCTTTCTATGCATGGCCCTAAAGGTGCCAAAATGTTCGGAGTTAGAAGAAAATTTTAGGATCAGCCAGTTGGCATGGTATAGCTAAGGTGGCTGGATGTCAAATGGCTGAGCCGTAGTTTGAGCCCCAGACCTGAGCAGCTTGAAAAACACACTAGATGCACGTGTGTACATGCCAAAAAAATCCTGAGAGGAGAATGTAGAAGGGACTGTGGTGTGGGCCATTCCCTCTGGGAGGATGCTTTTTCACTTTACCTCTTTCTCTATGGTGAGTACATGCAGCCTATAGCAACATTTTTAAAAATCATTTTTAAAAAATGACCACAGAGAAAAGACTATAAACATAGATGCTATATTGCAAACTATGTATACCCACCTCCCAATTCATGGGTTTTACCTGCCAGATGCTGAAGACCGGCTGTGAGTCAGTCAGCCTGCTAAAGTCATCCTAGAGCCAAAATCCTCCACGACTTTTGCATTTCCTGTGAGCATGTTTGGTGCTGGCTCAACTTACCCTACTGTGTAGCTTGTGTCTCAGTGCAGTGTGGAAAGGTCTCCTGTAAGATCTCCACCTCAACCCAGAGTGGAGGTGCTACTGAAGGCTAAAAGATAAGATGGGCAGAGAGCAGCAGTGGGCAGTGACACTTTTGTGCTGGTTGATCTTGTAAATATTCACCCTCCGACTGTGGATTGCAAATGCTGTTGCAGTTTTTGGAGAGGAGACAGTATTTTGTGCCTGTCAGGGTCACACATTCAGGGCAAGCTCAGGAACAAGTCAAGGCCCAGTGAGGGGAGAGTTTCCTAAGCTCAGATGAGAAGCATGTCTGGCCAAGGCCTGCCCAGGAGCAAGTACAGAGTCAGCACAGGTAACCCTGCCTGTCCCTGAGCCTTGCTGATGTGCATCACCTCCTCATGCCAAGGGTGACATCCAATTTTAGCTGTCACTGGGCCCGTGGTCTGATATCCACAGGTAATGAAGCAGTGAACTCGTTTCATTATCTTGATTCCGTTGCCTTAGTTCTCTAGTCTAAAGGTCTTCAAGGTAAAGCACTGCAACAGGAACTCCTGCTGCCATCTGCTAGCCATGATGTGTGTCACGCCATGTCCTCACTCAACACTTACACTGCCTTTGGGAGAGGAGTAGAAGCCAACAGACTAAGAACGAAATCTGATTTTAGTGTCTTGAGAATGTCCTTTTTATAAAGATACCTAGCAGCTGCCTCCTGAGCATGCAGATGTGCAACTGGGTCATTGCAGGGGAGCCTCTTCTCAGGCTTGTGTTGTGTTGCTGGAACAAATTGCCACAAACTCAGTAAAAGGATGCAAGCTCGTTATGGTTCTAAAGTCTGACATGGGTCTCACTGGACTCAGCAGAGCTGTTTTACTTTCTGGGATTCTGAAGGGGAAAATCTGTTTCCTTGCATTTTCCAGCTGCTAGGGATTGATCTCCATCTTCAAAGTCAGCCACATAACATCTCTCTGAACTGGTTTCCATCACCATGTGTCTTTCTCTGACGCTCTGTCCTGCCTTCCTTTTCCATATTGAATATCCCTGTGATCACAGTGGGCCCACATAGATAATCCCAGCTAATCTCCGTATCTAAGGTCAGCTGATGTGCAAACTTTGTTCCACCTGCGACCTGAATTCTCCTTTGCCGTGTAAAGTAGCATTCACAGGTTCTAAGGAATAGGACATGAACATCACTAGGGCCATTCTTCTGTGTATCGCAAGCCCTACACCTTCATTTCTCCTGGGAGTGTCTGTTTCCTCCATTATCTCCTGTAAGTCATTTCCTGCTTTCAACTGACCCAAACAATGCTGAAGTAACAAGTCCAGTGTCAAATATGGTGTTTAATTTCTTTTAAAGAATTATTTATTTAACTTTATTTATTATCATTATTATTTTAATTTGATAAGGAAGAGAGACAGGGAAAACAAGAAAGCAAGCCACCAGGTCTGGGACTTGAACCATGGTCAGCCATGTGGGAGTCCAGCGCATAAACCATCATGTCACCTACCAGCCCCAAATATGGTGTTCTTAAAAGATCTCAAAGCCAAGTTTGATGAGAATGGTATGTGGTCTTAGTGCCCAAAATCCAGTCCCTCACAGGGAGTACATTGGAAAAAAAATCAGAGATGAATACTTAGAGCAACAGATGACATCAATATACACAACCTACTTTTGTGTTTACAGGTGTGGATTTGGTCGAAAGCCAAGTTTATCAATAGGAAATTCCTAATGGAAGAACTTTACCAGCGTGTTCTAGATGGAGAAGAGAGCCATGTGGCTCAAGAAGACGACCCTTTCTGGGATCCCGTTGAGGCTGTCTTCTTGGGCTCGGCTCACATCTGGCTCCAGTCGCTTGCCTACTGCATGAAGTTCGAGGAACAAGTGGAGTTTCTGAACTGTGATGGGCTGGAAGAGGCAGTGTTGCATATCCGCGTTGCCCCCTGCTCCCCAGCAGGACGGTGGGTGTCTCCTTTACATGGTTGCCTAGTTATGGGTCAGTCACACAGAGAAAACTCAGAGGTGCCTTAGTTCTCCTGAGGGGGCAGTTTGGTACTCCGAGGTATTCATTCATGAGACAAATGAGTTCATTTATTCATGATTTGGCCTCATAAAATCTGGTTTTTGCTTTGGTAGCCAAATTGGCTGATCCATAATGGTCAACAGTATTCAAAACAGTGCAGACACATCCTGAGAGCCCAAAGGAATGAAGAAGACATACCACAGAAAGGCAGGTATAGTAGGAGATTTGGAGAAGAACCGAAAGATCTGAGTTGTTTCCAAGCCAGGACCCCGAGGAGAGAATCCAAGTGTGTCATAGGACATTCCTGCCCACAGTCCTTTCCGGCACCTGTGAGGTCTGGTAGCTGCTGCGTATAGGATGCCTTTTCCATGCTGAAGCCCCATCCTGCCGATGAGGCCCAAGGTTAGAGGCAGAAAGCTGATTTTCCAGCTAGCCTCTTCTCCTGGGGTACAGGCTTGCTCATTTCTTTCTTTTCTCAAGTGGGGACTGAGACATCTGGCCTCATTCTGTTGTCAGCTGACCTTTCTGTGGTATGCACAGACTCTGCTTTAAGTTATCCGCTCTGTCCTAAACAGATTACCTTTCACCTTCTCAGGATATGGCATCTGTTTCTTCTCTTCAGGCAAAAGGCAGTTTTGACAAAAGTTGAAGTTTTTAAGCAATCTTACGCAAAGAGGCTGGCAGCGGGCTTATTCTAGGTGCCAGGGCCTTCTTAGGCACCCAATGAAACCTTTTTGTCTTTCAAGAACCCTCAGCTTCTATGACCAAGAGACCAAGCTGATCAACTTACAGTCTTCTCTGGGACTTTGAACAACTTTCTGGTCGATTGGCTACCTCAGGTTTTTAGGCTGCCCAATGGTTATATTTCTCATTGCAAATAAAGTGGCATTCTAATTTATAGGTTCAGACTTTGTTTGGCTGATGCAAGAGAAGTCTCCTGTTGGGAAGTTGCTCAAATCAGAATTCACCACATAGGCACAGACAGTGGCACAGCAGTAAATGTGACAGTCTGAGAGGCTAACTGAGAGGCTAATGGAAAGATTTCAGATCCAATGTGGAGACTTCCCTGAGTATGCTAGATACATACGTGCCCACTACCTGGGGCTGGCTAAAGCTGAGAGGGTGGATTATAGCAATGGAACCCTGCTGGGAGTGTTCTCTCTCTCTCTTGCTCATGGAAGAAATCAATTTAAAGACTTCATCAAGGAAAATGACAACTTGAGAAGCTGCAGCTGAAAAACCAGATGGCTCTCCCACTTTCTCCCACTGGAGATCTACCTAAATCTTCCACGCAGTTAGTACCCATATCTGTGTGCATTTATTTACATTTGTCTTCCAGGTTGTGAGGTCCGTATCTTACCTTGAAGTGCCAGTGTGGAGTGGGTTGTTAAGTGTCCCCTGAATGAATGGAATTCTACAACTAGTTATATTGCCTGTGCTTCCCCTGCGATTAGCTACCACTTAAGAATGCTATTTAACTACCTTGACATCACAATCCTAACTTGTTGGAACCCAACCTAACCTGAGATCAATGTTCACGTCTTCTGTCTGTAGAGTACGCAGTGAAGAGGATGTGGTTATTGACCCTTTGGAGCTGCTGGGCAAGAGGATCGATTTCCAGATTCGCATTGTCCGGTGCCTTGGTGTCAAGTGGCTGAAGGAAGATGCAAAACGAGGCATTCAGATAGGGTGGGTATCTGCGTGTGCCACAGAACTGCTTTGCACAAATCACCAGTGTGTGGCACCTGGTGAGAGGAGTGTTAAAAATGAGTTTATTATGAAAATGTTCTCAAGTTTCTTTGGTCAACCTCAAAATGTCTATTTTCCCCATCTATTAAGTAGGGAAGCCACATGTCCCTTCACATCACTGGGCTGTGGTCAGTGACCTTTTACATGGTCGAACTAGCAGAGTCTGAAATATTTTTATTATTTTATTTTATTTTAATTAAACATTTTTTTTTAATTCTTAAAGACGTATTTAAGTTTATTTATTATCATTTTTTTCTAATTTGCCACAGGGCACACACACCCACCAGAGGGAGACAGAGAGGCGAAGCGAGAAAGCAAGCCACCAGGTCCAAGACTTGAATTGCACACAGCCATGTGGAACTTCAGCGCCTTAACCACCAAACCACATGCTGGCCTCATCATCATAATTTTTAAAATTTGCTATAGAGCATGTGTGTTCACAAGAGAAAAACAAAAGGAGAGAGAGGGAAGTAAGAAACCAAGCTGCCAGGCCTGGGACTTAAACCACAGTCAGCCATATGGGAGTCCAGTGTTCTAACCACATCACCTGCTGGCCCTAGAGTCAGACATTTTAATTATCATTATCAAAAAAGAACATCTACTAAACTGTACAATGGGATCTGCAGCGGGATCCCACATAACTGCATGATTAAATCACACTGGACACATGTTCATGTATTCCCAAAATCCTGAAAAGAGACTGGGGGAGACGGGATTGCAACACAGCCATCCACACTGGGGTGATTTCTCACTTTTCCTGTCTCTCTCTGGTGAGCACATGTGCCCTATAGAAAAAAAAAATTTTTGGTGTAAAAATAATATTTTGAAATTCATGCATAGTTTCATAATATACTTTATCCCTAACTTTTTCAAGATCTCTCATATTATATAAATAGGTATTTTTTTTGCTCTTTTTATTGTCTTTGGAAACAAAGGGACTGTATTATAATAGGGCAGAAGTGCTAGATATGCTTAAACTAGTTAGGCTAAAAGGACATTAAAAGATAAAGCAGTAGAGCCAATAGGTGGCATGGTTAAGGTGCTGGATTTCACATGGCTGACTCCATGGTTTGAGTCCTGGATCCTGTGGTTTGAGAGACATGCCAGGCACATGTGCGTGTGTGCCCACAATCCCAAGAGGAAAATAGATTGTGACATGGCTATCCCCTCTGGGGATGCATAGACTCATTTTCCCTGTCTCTCTCTGGCACATGTGTCCTAATGCCAAAAAACTATAAAAAAAAAATTAAAAATTTAAAAGATAAAACAATAAACAGAGATTGTGAAAAGCAAAAACCAAGCAACCAACTCACAAAGAAAATTATCAAAACTAAATAGAAAAGACTTTTTGAAACCTTTTTCCTCTTTTGCTAAACATTTATTATTACCCACCCAGTGATGACACTGACATAGGACAGCATGTTGGAGGCAGCGATCACGAGAATCATCTCTTAGCTAACAATCTATGGGCTGTATGTAAGTCTTTGGTTCATCTGAACTTTTTCTGTACAGATGTGTCTCTTCTGGTTTTAAATTATATTTTGTATCCTTTTTTCAGATACAGAATTTATGACCTCCCACATGCCTTATATACTAGGCCTGTATGGAAGATTATGAATCCGCAAATTGAAGAGACTACCCAGTTTGCAGCCTTAAATGCATCTCAGGAGTTTCTGAATTATTTACAGACAAATGCTCTCATTGTTGACTTATGGGGCCTTCAAGGTACTTCGTTTATTCTTTTACACGGTGCATTCTCCAGTCAGGTATGTCCGTTCATCTGGGGTGGCAAAAAAAGTAGTGAAGGGAGGGAGATGAGTCCTAATAGCACTTGTCTAGAGCCATCTTTCCCCCCGGGTCCCTGGGTTCTAATCTAGCAGGTGATGATATGGTTTAAGCTCTCCACACACAGCACTGGGCCTGGAAATCTCAGACATTTCTTTACTTCATGGCATCTCTCCTGTACTACAGAAGGTTGTGCAGAGCTGAGCTGCCCACAGCTGGACTTCATGGTCACAGGTGAAGGCCATATCATGGTTGACACCAAGAAAATTTCCACTGTGAAGGATACAAGCCAGGTGTGTACATGTGGCATTGAAATGGGGCACTGTATGGGGCAACAGGTGGCGTGGTGATTAATGCACTGGATTCCCACATGGCTAACTACAGTTCAAGTCCCAAACCCAGAAGCTTGAAAATCATACCAGACACGTGTGCCCAAAATCCTGAGAATGAAGGTGGGACTGTGGAGTTGCCATCCCCACACCCTCCAGGGCCTGGATTTCTCCCCCTTTCCCTCGCTCCATCTTTGTCTCTCTCTGGGAAGTGCATATGTCCTATAATAAGATCCTAACCAACCAAAAAAAAAAAAAAAGCATTACAGATTATTAGGAAAATCTCAGATGTCAGCTACTTGAGGGCCATTAATGTTCCTTCTCCTTAACAAAAATTGTCTTAATTTACTCCTACATGTCCTCAGGGCTTAAACCCTGCTACCTCACTAGTGCCCCCTGCCCCCCATTTGATTCTGATAGTAAACTGCCAATCTTAAAGATATGCAGCTACATCCAGCAGAAGGCTAACCTGAAATGTTTTTGTAGACTACATCTAACCAGATGTCAGAACTTTATCTGAAATTACTCATGTTAGAGCAAGAGACAGAACTGCTCAGAAATGTTAACAGAGCCCTAAGGAAGGAAAACGTGTTTCTCAAAGAATCGATTGAGAAAATTGGTTCTGGTCATCAAGGTGAGAGACTACTCAAGTTTGATGGTTTACCTCAGCTCTGATTCCAACTTTTGGGATGTGTTTGTCTTTCTAAAAAATGGACTTTTAAAATGAGTTAATTCATATCTTGCTTCATAAACAAAAATTGTAGGACACTGCTTTTCTTTGCAGTGTCTGAGATTTTTGGGATATATCCAAATTGGTGTTTGATAAAAGCTGATGTAGTAGAATGCCACCAATTATTGGGTTGTCGGAAAAGTCATCACGCATTTTTGCATAGAAAAATACGTCATGACTTTTCTGACAACCTAATAAATAAGTACAAAGATAAGTTAACTAATTTATGTTATCTTTTCTTCCTATCTCAGCCCATAGGCCTTTCAATACCCTGAAAATAACTGGGATGATGGCACAACTGCCATCAGCCAGAGAGATTAATCGAATGTGCACTGAGCGAGCCAGTTGTGATAGAGAATTTGCCAAAGCTCTTAAGATTTTCTACCAAAGCATGAACACAGCGAGAGGGCAGTTTCTCAGACTGAGACAGCATAAACCTCCAGTAAGTAACAAGAATTCTGTGAGCAAAAGAAGTTTTTTTAAATGTGTATGTGTGATGTAACTGGATTTCCTAAACTTGGGGATGTGTGTGTTTAAACAGAAAAGCAAGTCAAGTTAAGGCCTCGCTCTCTCAGGCCTCCATCCATTGGCCTTTTTATTTAGTATGTATCTGGCTGATCCCAGGCAGTCATGGCTGCTGCAGGATTGGTATCTATTCACTTTATAGTATACAGAACATGCCGGAAATATGAGTCTGGTTTATCATTATGAAACCAAACACAATTTATCACATTAAGAGATTATAGGAGGAAAACAATTTGATTACTTCAATACAGAAAAAAAATTGTTAAAATTCAGCACCTTATGATGATAAAAATTCTTGGCAAACTAGGAATAAAGTGGACATTCCTTTATCTGATAAAGGTGATCTTAGCAAATACCCCAAGCACAATGCTCACTGGTGAGTTACTGAAAGTTTTCCCTTTCACATCAGGAAGAAGTCAATCTTGCTAGATAGCTTTTCTTCTGTTTAGCATTATACTCTGGGTTCTAGCCATTGCTGTATGACAAGAAATCAAGGAATCAGGGTTAGAACAACAAGGAATAGCAATAAGAGCATATACTTATATAAACATTTACTGAGTGCTTTGCATTTAAAAAGAGCATATACTTATATAAACATTTACTGAGCCCTTTGCATTTACTGCCTCAATCCTCACAATAACCCTAAGAGGTAGGTACTTATTTACAGTTGATGAATTGCAGACACAAGAGAGGTTATATACCTTGTCTAAGGATCTCCAACTAATAAGTAGTGGAGCCAAGATCCAAACCACACAGAACTGCTCCACTCTCCCACTCCACTGTGCTGCCTCCATTACTAATCCGAGATGACATACTTGGACAATTAAAAGGTCCTCATGACTTTATGGTATTTGCTGGATACAAAATCTGTATTTAAAAATGAACTAACTCAGGGCCAGCAGGTGGTGTGGTGGTTAAGGGTGCTAGACTTCCACATGGCCGACTGCAGTTTGAGTCCCGGACCAGCAGCTTGCTTTCTTGTTTTTTTTTTCTCTCTCTCTGTCTCTGGTCAAATTAAAGTAAAATGAATAAAATTAAACAATTCTTTAGAAAAAATTAACTGACTCCAACAGCAACAAGCAGTAAAAAAATGTTATCATAAAAGATACCACTTATAATTGCATGTAATATATTAAATACTTAGACCTATAGCTAACAATAAAATATGCAAGACTTTTATGAAGAAAAAATTGAACTTGTTTAACAGGTCTAAATAGGAGGAAATGGGGAATACAGGAAACAAAGCAGAGGATTTCTATTCAATAGCATGAACAAGTCTAGAGAACTAATGTACACTGTGAGGATTCCAGATAATAAAAGTATATCGTTTATGGGATTCATGGTGAATGAGTACTTATAGGTGCTCTTGCCACAAAAACAAAATGGGTAACTTCGTGAAATGATGACGTTAATTTGTTTCACTGTAATAATCTTTTGGGTATGTGTCTCATAACATCATCTTGTATACCTTAAATATATACACACACAAAAATCCTAATAAACAGAAAAATATGTCATGTCTCCATGGCTTGGAAGATTTGCCACTATTCTAAATCTATCAATTCTCCATGAGATTCAACGTGATGCTAATCAAATGTAATGAAACGTGACAGGATGATTTTACAATTTATATGGGATTGGAAAAGCAGAGAATAGGCAAGATAAGATCAAAACCCAAGAACAAGGTAGGAAGATAAGCCCTGTTTAAATGGTCCTGTAATAGAGAAAATAAGGTATTGGCCCAAATATATATAACCAAAGGAAAGAGAAAGAAGCACCCCCAAATAGAATCATTCAGGTCTAGAGACTTGACATATGACTGAGACAGAACCAGAGAGGAGTGTGACAAAGGTGGACTTTTTCATTAACAGTGCTAAGAGAATTAGGAATAATTAGGAATGAGAAAAATGAAACTGGATTCCTGTTTAAAGCTATACGTAGAGGGGCTGGCAGGTGGAGTGGTGGTTAAGGCACTGGATTCCCACATGACTGACCTCAGTTCAGGTCCTGGACCTGGTGGTTTGCTTTCTCACTCTCTCTCTCTCTCTCTCTCGTTCCTTAAAAAAATAATAAATAAATAAAATTAAATAATTCTTGTTTAACAAAAGCTATACCTAGAAATCAATTTTAGGTGAGAATAATTTAAATGTGAAAGGCATACCCTAATGTTTTTAGAATATATTTTAAGTGACTATTTTCATAACTCCACAGTGGAAAAAAACTTCTCATATACCTCCCTCTCTCTCTCTCACACACACACACACCTAGCTTTAATTAAAAGGAAAAAAAAGACTGACTTACTCACCTACATTAAAATTAGGAACTTTGGTCTGTCAAAAGATACCAGAATGGAGCTGCCCCCATGGCCTGATGGTTAAGGGAGCTGAATCCTACATGGCCAACCACTCAGTCTGAATCCCAGCCCCAGTGGCAGTGGCTGGAAAAACATGACCAGTGTGTGTGTGTGTGTGCATGCCCCAAATCTTGACAGGATGGAGTAATAGAGGAGAAGGGACTGTGGTATGACCACTGGGGAGTGCTTTCTCACTTCTCTGTTTCTGGTGATCATATACATCCCCTGGCAAATTTTAAAAAGGGAAGGAAGGCGAGGGGAGGGGAGAAAAAAAGGGGAAGGAAAAGAAAATGAAACTAGATGAAAGACACCATAAAAAAGTAAAAGTAAGCTACAGCCTGGGAGAACTTATTTGTATTATTTATCATCAAGCATTAGTATTCAGAACATATAAACAGCTACTCTAAAAATATTTAATTTGGGGCCAGCAGGTGGTGTGGTGGCTAAGGGTGCTGGACTGCCACACGACCAACTATGGTTCAAGTCCTGGACCTGGTGGCTTGCTTTTTCACAACCCCGCCCCTTTGAAATTAAACAAATAAAGTTATATAAAATAATTCTTAAAAATAAACTTACTATTGGGACCAGCAATTGGCGTAATGGCTACATCACTGGACTCCCATGTAGTCAACCACGGTTTGAGTCCTGGACCCAGTGGCTTAAACTCATGCCGGGCGCATGTGCGTGCGTGCCCAAGATCCTGAGAGGAGAATGGAGAAGGGTTTACAGTGTGGCCATCCCCCAGGAAGTGATTTTTCGCTTTCTGTCTCTCTCTGTCTTTCTGGCGAGCACACATGCCTTATAGCAAAAGAAAAAAAGAAAAAAAAAAACTCTCAAAAACAAACAAACAAACAAACAAAAAACACACTCACAAAATTTACTATTATTATTTTAAATTTGCTATGGGGCATGTGTGCTTACCAGAGAGAAATAGAAAGAAAGCAAGCCACTAGGTCCAGGACTTGAACCATGGTCAGCTATGTGTGAGTCCAGCGCCTCAACCACCATGCCACATGCTGGCCCCATAAACAGCTACTTTTAAAATAAAACAGCATTTTGAAAAACACAATGGAAAAAAAGGCACAAGATTGGAACCAAGAAATATCAATTTTATACAAACCAGAAGGTAATGCTGTGTCATACTATACCCAAGTTCAGCTAGCACTGTCACCATCTCCTCCACCATTGTCATTGGCGCTCAGGCTCACATCCATCCTCAAAACCCTTCTCAGGGGCACCTGTTTCCATGGGGCAGGGGATACATCAGCAAAACCCTACCAGTGAAAGACCCTCAGACCCACAGGTTCCTTCGCATACCTCAGAACTCCTATAGCGTTAAAGGAATATGTAACATTCCAATTTAAAATAGTTGGATTATCTCACCAGCTTTCCCTATTCCCTTAGGAGGCATTCAGGTAGCGTTCATGGAACAGTTGCCCTACTGACAATACAGCCTCTGTTAGCAACCTTCAAATGCAGCTTTCTAGCCCAAAGGGGAAGCTTACTGGCCAACCGACTCCTATACACACAGTATTTTTCACTCTAATGATAAGAGATCTACTACTATCATTTATTTATTTATTTACTTTTTAGGAAGACGACCAAATGCTTCGATCATTTGTAGATCAACAGTCACAGATGTTAAAGGACTTTGGGGACCTATTTGAATCCAGCTTGCGAAAATTAAAAAATGATGTGGCTCTTATTGTGAAAAAGAAAAGGGAGTATTTACTGCATATCAAATAGTGAGGATACACCAACTGAAGATATTTCAGCTTTGAATTATGAAGATTATTGATGTAGCTTAATTAACCCATTTCCCACTTACTCAACTATTTCTTCTGCTGTTTTTAAATAAAACTCCTCTCTTTCACTTTTATTTTCAGTCATGTAAAGTCAATCTATATCCAGATTAAGGTGAGATGGGAGATGTCTAAGGAAACACAGTTCTCTGAGCTCTGGACCAGACTGCCTAGGGTTAAATTCATCACTTCTCAAATGTATGATTTCCAGCAACTGACAGGGAAGTAACAGCATTTACTGCAAACAGTTTATGAATATGAAGTACCCAGAACAGTGCCTGGCCTACAGAAGTGTTTGATAAACATTTGTCATTAATATTATTTATGGTAAAAAAAAGTTTGATTTGAATGAAACCCTTCTGATGAATTTCTTGTCAGTCAGACCTAGAGACAATGGTTATTTCATGTCCCTCATTTTTTTTTTTCATTCCCTCATGCCCCTCATTTTGTATCCTTACTCTGAACAAACCTGAATTCTACCTTCTTTTATCTCTTTTCAAAGGTTTTTTGAAATACAGTTTGTTAAGCAGCGTTGGTGCCTGTATTATGGAACCTGTTCAGTGCAAGGCCGGAGTGCAGAGACAGCCAACTGTTAGATCTGCCAGGAGGCAGTCCATCTTGAAGCCGATCTTAATTCCACGTATTGATTGATGGGTCTTAGTCGAGAAATGACAGATAATGGATGCTCTGGGGAGAGGCTCTAAAGAAACATTTTGTGGCCAAAGACTTCTAACAACAGCAGCAGTGACAATATTGAGACTTAGCAAGTGCTTACCATGTGCCAGGCACAGATCAAAGTGCTAAACATCCTACTCATTTAATTCTCACAGTAATTCTCAGTTTGGCGCTGTGATGTCCCTCATATTGAGGCTTTAAAGATTAAGAACGTTGTCCAAGCCACTGTGAGTAAGCAGGGGTTCAACTCTAGAGCCTGCCTGTCTACCCTCTATGATGCCTGGCTGTCCCTGGAAGGGGCGGGACTGACCTGTGTAAGAAATCAAGAAAGGGAAAATGAGAAGTCACTACCCCAATCCTTGTTCCCTAAAATATAAAGTCAGAGAAATCAAACTAGATGACACTGAACCTTACTGGCAGGAGAGGAGGTCAAGAGTTCCAAAGAGGAGTCTCCCTGGGAAAGTAGGAAAATCTGGGCTGATCATTTCAGCTTAATACCAGGACCCAAGGATTTATGGGGGGAATGAGTTTTGCTCACAGTTCAGGTCCTGAGTACAGGTACATTTTAAAAAGCCCCTGGAACCTTGGAGCCCAAGTGGTGACTGTAGGGGCAGAGCCAACAAAGGCATCCTAGAACCCTGGAAAACCTGTCTGTGAGAGGCACGCACAACAGAGGGTGGGTGGGCCCTCCAGCACTCTGCCTGGCCGCCGGAAGCAGGAGCGGCTTTGATCTCTTTGGACTAAGCCTCAAAGTTCTTGTAGTTGACTCGTTGGATAAGAGTAATACATTTTCTGCAAATGTTAGCAAGTTGAACCTTGTGAGGTTAAGAGGACACATGCTCCTCAAGCTGGAGGACAAGGCGGCCCTGCGACCTTCATACACGATTCCCAGCACCCCTATACAGGTTTGACAACTGGAAACACTGACAGAATGTGTCACCTTACCCAGTGGTTCCCAAACACAGACTCCTAGGCTTTAACATCCAGAATACAAATTGCTGGAAGCCACTGGGGAACTTCCTGTTGTGATTCTGATATGCAGGTAGTCATGGGATCTGTTGGTCCTCAACAGTTCCTAATTTTCTAACAGCTGAAAAACCTCTCCTAAGATCCCACAGGTTAGGACAGCTGAGACAAAATCTCCTGTCTTGTGATGACCATGCCAGAGCATAGGAAGCCAAGTTAGGGTGGGAGTTCTACCACCAAGAATCTTCCTTTCAGACACCCTCATCCTTCTGTACAGACAGTACAAAGGGTCTCCTGATATGAGTAATATTTCTATCTATGCTGTGCTTCTCATTTTAAAATAGAAATTCCATAAAGGGGTGTTGCCTTCTTTATATAATGAACAGCACAAACACTATGTGTATGTTTATTATATACTTATGACAAAAGGAAGTCTTCTGCCTTATTTTAAGGTGTAAGTAGAAGACCTAATTAAAATACAAAAAGCAAATCAGAGGAAAATTCTGCTTAGGTCATGAAAATGAATAGAAACTGAGCAACTGTATCTTTAAAACTAATCACAGGTAGAAAACCAAGGAAAGAAAGAATGACAAGCCCAATTATTTGCAGTAGACAGGTTAGGACCACATAAACAACACATTTCTTCCACCACAAAAATATATATGCAGGACCAAATGCAAGAACACTATTCAATTGACAAACCTTTATTATTTAACTTATGTAACTGTCTAAAAATCAGTCAGCGTAGATGGGTGAAAAAGAGGCTAAAATAGCAAAAAGTGCAGTCTCATTTAGCAAAGGCTCACCCAGTATGTAGAGAACTCACTGGAAGGTGATATTCCACTCACTACATGGCAAGGAAGGCAGCAGTGACTGCCCTACCGGAACACTGGTCCAGACACGCTCTTTGACGAATGCTGTTAGCAACACAAATAGAGATACCTCTGCCACCATCGACCTGCCACTCATTTATAAAGAAAACTTCAATGAAAAAGTCAGTCAAATATTAGCAATAAAGTCACACAATCTATTGAGATATGAAACTTAGGGTAAGCTATACAATTTCCTTTGTTTAATGTGTAGATATTGTAGATTTGACAATCTCTTTCACTTATAATCAGATAAGCTTACAGAAGAATTTCAAATATCAAATACAGAAGCTGTTAATTCATGCTTTGTATAATTTTAGATAATTCTTCAAATGTTTAGACTTCAGAGCTGCTAATGACACTGAATTCAATGCCCCGTTGGTTGAGTCTGTCAATCAGCTTCGTTCTGGAGAAAGCTGCTCCAGGTGTGAAGACCCCGCCCCTGTAAGGCAAAAACAAGAGAAAACAGTGCTATGCATGGCTCCTCTCCATCCCTCTCCTCTACAGGACTAGCTGTCCAGTCACTGTAGAACTCATATAAACCTAAGATTTCATTCTATCATAGCCACTTTTGGTTCCACTCCTAAAATCAGCCAGATGATCAAGCAGCTATTATTCAGGACCAACCAGTGCCATAGCCAATCCCACCTAAATTGGCTCAGTTCCTGGTGAGATGGTCTCCATGCCACTGGCGTGTTCAAAGGGCATGCTGGGCATTATCGACCTGAATAACTGCTACTGTTTTAAAAACAGTTACCAAACTTAGGAAATTTAAATAAGACCTGAATGGAATAATTAGGTAATCGATTAAGTATAAATGGGACTTCAGATGAATGAAAAAGAAATTTCGTGGGCAGGCCCCATGGTGCAGTGGTTAAGCACTGTGCACTGTGAGCTGATCCTACATTGCTGACATTTCGAATCTCAGCTCTGGTTGTTTGAAAAAAACAATAGGATATATGTGCACGCATGCCCAGGACCCTGATGGGATGAAAAAGTGGAAGAAAAAAGATTGTGGTGTGACCATTCCCTTTTGGGAGATACTTTTTTTCTCTCTGGCAAGTGCGCTCTGGCAATTAAAAAAAAAGTCTCTTTAAATATAACAGCTAGCATTTGTAAAATGCTAAACACATTCAAATGGTATGCACATATTAGAAAAACTTTGAGATTTACTACATGCAAATGCAGTTTTTCTTTTTCTTTTTTTATTTAAAGGAGAGATTTTTGCTATAGGCATATGCATTTTCCAGAGAGATAGAGAGACAGAAAGTGAGAAATCACCCCTCAGTGGGGAATGGACATACCGCAATCCCTTCTCCACTATTCTCCTCTTGGGATTTTGGGTATGCACACATGCTGGATGTAAATTTTAAGCCGCCGAGTCCAGGCCTCAAACCACAGTCAACTACGTGGGAATTCAGCGATGTAACCATTCCACCATCTGCTGGTCCCATAAAGATAGTTTTTTTCTCTTCATATTGTTTTAGGTCATGTCTGATTTACTTCTCAGCTGCAGGCCTACGCTCATTTGTAAAGGTGGCCTTGATTTAGAGAAACAGCTCAAAGCTCCAGTAAGACAGTATACATAATAAGTATGTAGGCAGCATCCCATGATTCAATTCATGCTTAGTGTCAGGAAGGCTCCCAGTGCAGAACCAGAGGCTTCTGCAAATACCATTAACAACAGTGACTTTTTTTTTTAAAGAATTATTTTTATTTAACTTTATTTATTATTATTATCATTATTATTTTCCAGTTTGATCTGAGAGAGACAGAGAGAGAGAGAGGAAGGGAGGAAGCAAGCCACCAGGTCCGAGACTTGAACCATGGTTGGCCATGTGGGAGTCCAGCGCCTTTAACCACCATGCCACTTGCCGGCCCCAACAGTGACTTTTTTTGAATGGATGACTCTGGGCCTGAGCTATTTTTACATGGAACTGAAGCCAAGTTACATGGCCCTCAAACTTTTCTGTCTCCTCTCACTTCTGCAGTTGTTCCTGAGACCAATAAGGAATTGTCCTCATAATTTTAATTTACCTATACCAAAGGAACTATAAAAGCTTATGTGCAGACCCAAAGCCTGAACATCAAAATAAGTTAAAATATAACACAAATGAAAAATCTTCTAATTAAGAAAACCAAACTTACGCCTTAGGAAGATCAGAGGCATCATTTAGGAGAGTCATGGCTGCCTGAACCATGGCTATGGGGGTGGCCACATAACCAGCCTCTGCAGAAAAGAGTTGACCAAGTAAAAAAGTATTCATGAAGTACACATTTCAACAATATCCCAAAATCAAATGATAGATTTTATATCTAACTCTAAGTATACAGATTTTTTTCAGTAGATACCTTGGTCACTTAATAACAAAAATAACAATATTTATTTATATAGTACTTATGATAGAACTATACTAAGTGTTTTAAATCTATTTTTTAAGAATTATTTTATTTAACTTTATTTATTTAATTTAATTTGACAAGTGAGTGACAGAGTGAGAGAGAGAGAGCGAGCAAGTGAGAAAGTGAGAAAGCAAGTCGCCAGGTCTAGGACTCAAACCACAGTCAGCCATGTGGGAGACTAGTGCCCTTAACTACCATGCCACCTGCCACATGCAATTTTTATAACAATGATGCAATTGGTCCTATTTTTATTCAGTTTACAGATGAGGAAACAGAGATACCGAGAGGTTAAGTGACTTGTCCAGACTCTTAGAGTCAGGCAGTAGCTGAACCAGAATCACACCTAGGCAGCTGGCCCCAAAGTCCACACTCCCACCTCTACATTGCACTGTTTCTTGACAATGACTGAAGCCAACGATCCTAGGTTTTTTGTTCTTTATTAATACACTAAACTGATCTCTGTCTTCACAAAGTTCACTTAAGAAAATATATATTATTTATTTCATTTTGTATTTATTCATTCATTTATTTTTTAATTTGACCAGAGAAAGACAGAGAGAGAAAAGTGAGAAAGCAAGCCACCAGGTCCAGGACTTGAACCATGGTCAAACATGTGGGAGTGTCCAGCACCTTAACCACTATACCACTTGCTGGTCCCCACACACTTCACTTTAAAAAAATTCTAAATTTCTTAAAGAAAAGCAATAGACTAAATAAACCTAAATAAGTCTATAAGCACTTGGAACATTAACATTTACATTCCTGTCAAAAAATAAAAACACAGTCAACTTACCTTAAAAAGTCACGTTGAGGGGGCAACAGATGGAGTAGTAGTTATGTCGCTGGACTCCCGCATGGCCAACCATAGTTCGAGTCCTGGACCTGGTGGCTTGAAAATCATGCCAGTCACACGTATATGTGCCCAAGATCCCAGGAGGAGAAGGGATTGTGGTGTGGCCATCCCCCTGGGGGGTGATTTCTCACTTTTCCTCTCTCTGTCTCTTTCCCGCCATCAAGTAGACATACCCTCTCAAAGAAAAACTTCTCCAAAAAGAAAAAAAAAGCCAGGTGGGAATTTGAAAAGGTAAGGTGCAAACACATCCATCCAGTTTGGTTAAAAACCTCTGTGACCCATCAAGGACAACGGTAATTAAACATATGGCTGTGATTTATAAGTGGGCCAGTATCTGTATATTTCTTCTAAAATTTATAAGCAATAGTTCTTGAACTTTTTTTTTCTTGTCCAGCAGAGGTTTTTGCTATAAGATTGCCAGACAGACAGAGAGAGACAGAGAGACAGAAAGCGAGAAATCACTCCCCAGGGGGGATGGCCACACCGCAATCCCTTCTCCTCCATTCTCTTCTCGGGATCTTGGGCACACACACACACATGCCCGGCGTGAGTTTAAGCCACCGGGTCCAGGACTCGAACCACAGTCGACTACATGGGAGTCCAGCGACATAGCCATTACACTAACTGCTGGTCCCAGTTCTTTAACTTTTTGAGGCAACAGATCTTTTTATTTTTTTATTTCTGGAGAAGTTTTTGCTATAGGGCTCATGCACTCGCCAGAAAGACAGAGAGAGACAGAGAGACAGAAAGCGAGAAATCACTCCCCAGGGGGGATGGCCACACTACAATCCCTTCTCCTCCATTCTCCTCTCGGGATCTTGGGCACACACACACACATGCCCGGCGTGAGTTTAAGCTACTGGGTCTGGGACGTGAACCGTGGTCAACTATATGGGAGTCCAGCGACATAGCCATTACGATAACTGCTGGTCCCAAGGCAATAGATCTTTTTAACAACATATTAAAAGCCCTTAACCCCCATTGAAAAATGCATGTGTCCACACACATTTCTCAATGTACGATGTTCAGGAACTCTGAAGAAACCCTGACCAAAGATTTGACTGCTGTTGCAACTAAACTGCTTGAGTCTAAGACTAAAACAGGTTAAAAAAAAAAAAAAAAAAAAAAACCCATTTTCTTTTTGAGAGGTTTTTTGCTATAGGGCGCGTGCGCTTACCAGACAGAGAGAGACGTTAGAGATAGAAAGCGAGAAATCACCCTCCAGGGGGGATGGTCACGCCGCAATCCCTTCTCCTCCATTCTCCTCTCGGGATCTTGAGCACGCACGCACACGCGCCCGGCGTGAGTTTTAAGCCACCAGGTCCGGGACACGAACCACAATCAACTACGTGGGAGTCCAGCGACATAGCCATTACGCTAACTGCTGGTTCCCTTCTTATTAATATTAATTAAAATTTGCCATTTAGGATTATTAAATCATACTGACAAAGAAAACCAGGCCTGGCCTCTGTGGCACAGTAGGTAGCATACTGGACTGCAGTGCTGGAAGCCAATGGCCAAACCGCAGGTTTGAATCCCTGTCCTGGTTGAATGCCAGGCCTATGCATACATTTCCAAGAACCTTGTGAGCTGGGGGCCTGGAGGGAAATGGAGGGAAATAGCAGAGTGAGAAGACCTTACTGAGGAGGCCCCTCTCCAAACAGGAAGAAAGGAACCGGAAGGGAAGGAGCAGTAATAATACTGAATTATCAGGTTATACAAATAATTTCACTCCTCCCTTTGACAGAATAATTTTAAATAACTTAAAAATGTGTACAAATGAATTTCTAAGATACTTGAGCTTTTTTTTGAGAGAGAGATCTTTGCCATGGGGCATGTGCACTCACTGAAGAGACAGAGAGACAGACAGAAAGCGGGAAATAACCCGCCAGGGAGGATGGCCACGCCGCAATCCCTCTCCTCCGCTGTCCTCTCAGGATTTTGGGCACCCATGCACACGTGCCTGGTGCCTGATGTGAGATTTAAGCCACTGGGTCCAGGACTTGAATCGTGGTTGGCTACGTGGGAGTCCAAAGATGTAACCATTATGCCATCTGCCGGTCTCCTAAGACAGTTGAGCTTTAAAAAGCAAATACACTTTACAGCTTAAGACAGTGTAGAACTCCCAAGCATTCTTAAGTCACACGTGAAATACCTGGTCCTTTCACCTGTGTACAGATTCTGATATTTGGTTTGTTCTTATCAACACTAAGGCCATGGCTATATCCTTGGCCGAAGAATGTCAATGTAAATGATGAGGCATCAATCTGTAAAAGAGAAAGTAAAGGGCCCATTTAATAAATATGTCATTTCCTCCTGGAACACCATAACATCTTCTTCTGAAACATTTTCAATAGATAAAAACAATGATATTTTATGTGTCAGAATATCTTACCATCCTTTAAGTATGGGACAAAAATTCCTTGAAGCTCTCAGTTTTGGTAACTGGTGTGACACTGAGGGTTGGGAAGGTAGGGAGGACATAAAGATGACTCTTGGTTTGTGGCTTACTGAATGACAGTACCTTTAACATAAGCAGTTTAAGAGGACAAGCTGGAGGTCGTTTTTATTGTGGGACTACAGAATATGGAAATTTAGTGTTAAATATTTGCAGAATCAGGACAAAAGTAGCCAACAAGTAATGGAAATATGAGCCTGAGAGACAGATATATATATAATTGCTCCATTTAGAGACAGCAATATTTAATTCAAAAAATTAAACTCTAAAGGACTTGTCCTGACATCCTTCACAATCATTAAATTTAGAAATAAGGTTGGGGTCAGCAGGTGGCATGGTGGTTGAGGCAATGGACTCCCATATGGCTGACTGTGGTTCAGGTCCTGGACATAGCGACTTGCTTTCTCACTTTCCCCTCCTCTCTCTCTCTCTCTGTCTCTCTCTTCCTGGTCAAATTAAAATAAATGAATAAATAAAATTAAATTATTTAAAAAACCTAAATATGGTCCCTCCCTTTCTTGGAACTTGTAATTTAGTAGGGAAGAAAGATATATAGACAGAGTTAATAACAATTACATGTGAACTAAAAGATGCAGGCAGAGTTCAATGAAGGGTGTTATTAAATACACTATGGCTGGCGGCAGGGTTTTAAAATGAATTCACACACATTTTCATAGAAATTAATTACACAGAAAAGTACGGTTAATTACAGAAAGGAGAAACCATTACTTGACAGCAAGAAGGGGATATAGTAGCATGGCCTACCTAAAACACAAAATGCACAGAAAGGTCAGACCCACATGCCACATTTGTCCCCTCCCCGTCATGGCACACATACTTACTGATCATAACCCTCTCTCAGGCTAGGCACACATTCTGTTTTATAACTCTTTTTTTTTAAATTAATTATTTTTTAAAATTATTTTTATCATCATAATGTTCTTTATATTACATTGGGTTACATATAATTTTACAATGTATTACATTGCTTTTTCAAAAGGGAATGCCATGTATGTCAGTCAATACAGAGACATTGATCTCCCCACTTCATCATTCAATATCTTTTCTATGTTTTTTCCAATCATTATTATTATCCTAATTATTTTTTAAAACAGTCAATCACTATTTCTCATTTTGCTTGTAAAAAGACTTTACCCATCATGAAATACTTCTCAGACCAATCCAGTTGAGAATACTATACATGTCATCAACAGGTAATAAGCCATATCTGTTTCTCACTAACGTCCTGCCTCTCTATTGTTCTCTTGCTATCTTTCTCTATCCTCTTCTCCTCACCCCCCCCATTGTTTTATAACTCTTTTCAACATTGTCTCTGGACTACTACTACCAATTACTCAGAGTTGGATGAAAAATGAAACTGATAGGCCACCTGGGACTAAATCATGAAGGGCCTAAGGATGCCCTCATACCTCTGGGGATGGACTTTCAGTCAGTCATGCTCTGAAGGTGTGTATCAAAGCTACCAAATCTGACCTGGAACCTTAACTGCCAAGGCAGTGATTCTCATCTTCTGCAGTGTATTAGCATCACTGGGAGACCAGTAGAAGGCATAGTGGTTACTTCGCTGGATTCCTACATGGTCAGCTATAACTGAAGTCTCAGATCCGGTGGCTTAAAAAATCATACCAGACCTTAATGTGTGCATGTGTGTGTGTGTGTGTGCGCGTGTGTGTGTGTGCGTGTGCATGTGTGTGTGTGTGTGCAAGATCCCAGGAAGAGAATGAAGTAGGGATTGTGGCATGGCCATCCCCTCTGCGGGAGATGATTCCTCACTTTCCCTCTGTCTCTGTCTCTTTGGTGAGTACATGCACCCTAAGGCAAAAACATATGTGACTTTAGCAAGGGGACAAAAAAGATGAAAGAAGGGTTCAGGGCTCTTTTTTTTCAGCTGGGAAAGAACCTGTATAGAGGTGGGAGGAAGAATCTACAGAAGAGAAAACCAAGAATTAACTGATAAAGCCACAAGGGAATCTGATCAAAAGTTATGGTCATGGCTAAGACTAGAGCTTGTTTAAATCCACTCTACACTAGCTATGCAAATTTAGGCATATAACAGCCTTTATTTATTTCCTCAACCATTGAAAGTGGGAGATAATAATACCTATACCTCAGTGGTTGCTGCTAGATGAAGAGGGATATCAAGCACACAGCCCACGACACAGTTCACACCACCACTGTAAAGAGCACACTGTAAAGGCCAGGGAATCAGCGTGCACTTGCTTCTTCCGGAGAAAACAGAAGAGGGTGCAGGTGGAAATAAGAACAGTAGGTCGAGGGTAGGACTCTGAGGGGTTCATAACAGATGCTCTCAATTATTTTAGTGAAGAATTGGGATAACTTGCAGATAGGGAAGAGGGTGAGGGTTGGTAAGATTTTGAAAAAAAAAACAGAGAAGATGGACACATGACTAATAAGGAGCATAAAAAATAACAAATGATGCTAAAATTCTACTAAAGGGATATAAGGACAGGAGACGGCACAGTGATGAAGCACTACACTGTACTAGGCTGACTGTACGGGAGGTCGCTGGTCATGTGTCCCTGAGTACACTGGGTGCACATGTGCCTATGATCTGGGCTGGCTGGGCTGGCAGGAGGGTGGCAGTGTCAAGACCCTGCTGGGGTGCTCTATCTCTGTATTCCCCCCACACACTTCTCCCTTACTCACAGAATAAACGAACATTTAAAAAAACATTCCACTTGGGGAAAATGAGCTTGCAGTGAGTTCTCCCTACAGTGCCTAGTGCAAAGGAGATGGAGGTTAAATAACCCAAAACTTAACTTAGGGTTGGGATCTATGAGCCAGATGGTAAGAAATAAGGCAGCCAGACTAAGACTCGTGGTAATTCACTTTATCTGCCCTGGGAAACTGGAATAAATGGAAGAGGAAATGAAGTTTGGGGGCACAGAGACAAAAGGAGGCGATAACAGAGGAGAAAACCTGAGGAGTAAAAATATTTGAGATTGCTATGAAACAAAAAGAATACAATTTCTGGAGCCAGCTGGCTGGGTTCTCATCCCGCTTTGGCCATCTAGTAGTTATAGGACTTTGGGCAAGTTTTTAAGCCTCTCTCTCTGGGCCTCATTTCCTCACTTTTTAAAAAAGTTTTATTTATTTTGACTTGTTATTATATTTTTTAAATTTACCAGAGAGAGAGAGACAGAGGAAGAAAAAAGGGAAAGTGAGAAAGCAATTCGGCAGGTCTGGGACTCAAACCATGGTTGGCCATGTGGGAGTCCAGCACTTTAATCATCACACCACCTACTAGTCCCATCATTTCCTCATTTGTAATAACAGTGCTCATAACCAAGAGGTGCTTGAAAAGATTAGGTAACCTAAGAACTTAAAAGGGTGTCTAAAACAGTAAGTGTGCTGTCAAGTTGTAAATGTTACTGTTATTGGACCAGGGAAAAGTTAATACAACATGAAGAAAAATATTATCTTAGAGCCCTGGATATAAAAGGAAGCATTACCTGTTTCTGTGTTGGACCTTGTTTTGAAAAATAACCAAAGGAGAAGAGCCACGGGAACTAAAAGAAACAAATAAACCAACCCTCAGTGACATTTTTTAAAACTCACGGAAAACATTTCCGAAGATCTTATTTCATGAAATCTTACTTACTTTAATGAGAAGCTGCCTTCCAATGCCAAACTTCACGAAGAATAAAAAGAAAAGTCCTGCAAACATCAGCTTAATCACAGAGGTAATGCCTCCCACAGTCACGTACGCAGTATACTGAACCTAGATGGACAGCACAAAGCATGTTACCAGCCACGTTTTAGACCAAGTAATTCAAGAATGCTAACTACTTAAAACTTTCCTTTCAATCAAAAATACGGGACAAAAGCAGCTTGCACTTTATGAATGCATTATGTTCTAAAATCTTATCCAGAAGCCAGATACTGGGAGCCTATTTTTTGAAATAAGTTGTTACAAATGGTAATTAGCTTCCCATATTGAACATAAAACCCACATAATACAAATATACCTGAGTTTAGAAATATATTATAGATGGGAGACTCCACTTATAACCCATTCTATGAAGAAATACCCTCAAACTTTTAACTTGAGATAAAGCTTAAAGTCTAAAAAGAGAAAAAAGGCCCCAGCAATATGAACAGTAACTTCTCAGTAAGTGATAGGCCAGTACACTCCAGAGATTTTACAAAGGGGAAAAAAAGGGCCCGGACATCTTCACAGGAAATAAGAGTATTGTTAGCTGAAACACTAAATAGGGATTGCCGGATATTTAGGACACTAAAATCTCTGTACTGAATTAATTGCTGCTGTGTCACATTAAAAAGGTATGCAGCAGGACTGGCAAGTGGTGTAGTAGTTAAGGTGCTAGACTCCCACCTGGCCCCGACTGGTTTGAATCCCAGACCTGGTGGCTTGCTTTCTCACTCTCCTTCTTTCTCTTTGTCTGTCTCTCTCTGGTCAAATTGAAATTAATAATAATAAAATTAAATAAACAATTATTTTTCTTAAGAACTATTTTATTGAGTTATTTATTTTTATTTGACCAAAGAGGAACAGAGTGTGAGAGAGAGAAAGTGAAAAGGCAAGCTGCTGCATCCAGGACTCGATCTGCAGTCATCTATACAGGAGTCCAGCGCTACTAACCACACCACTTGCTGGCTCTAAATAAACAATTCTTCCAAAAAAAAAAAAAAAAGGTACACAGCTGGGCCACCAGGTGACATGATAGTTAAAGGTGCTGGATTCCCACATGGCCAACTGTGATTCAAGTCACAGCCCCAGCCGCTTGAAAATCACCCTGTTGCATGTGTGTGCATGCCCGAAATCCCAAGAGGAGGATGAAGAAGGGACTAGAGCATGTGATTTTCCCCCCGAGGTGATTTCTCACTTTCCCTCTCTCTGTCTCTCCAGAGAGGGCATGTGCCCTACAGCAAAAACAAACAAAAGTATGTAGCAGCTAGACTGGAATCATGAGAAAAGGATATTATCACCCACATAAATGCAAAATGTTTTACCCTAGCAATTATGTCTATTTCCAGATTCAGAAAAATGCAGTATTTAGCTCTTTCATTTTTGCTTTATAAATATAAAAATCTGGGGCCACCAGGTGGCATGGTGGTTAACGTACTGGACTCCCACATGGCTGACAGTGATTCAAGTCCTGGATCTGGTAGTTTGAAAATCACAAGTGTGTGCATCCCAAAAATCTCAGGAGGCAACTGAAGAAGAAGGAACTGCAATGTGGCCATCCTCCCTGGGTGGTGATTTTTCACTTTTCCTCTCACTGTCTGTCTCTCTGGCAAGCACACGCACCTTAATAGATAGGTAGGTAGGTAGGTAGATAGACAGAGAGAGAGAGAGATAGATAGACAGAGAGATATCCTATATTAAATGGGGGACCTGTAAGAAACAGAAAATTCTTAAAAAAACCACATATACTTACTGGTGATTCCCCTAAATTTTCATGCAAGTATCGCTGAGTCCGCCTCACAACAGACACGTCAGCTCCCAAGAAAGGGATAGAATAACTTTTGAGTTCTCTACAGTAAGAAACTGGCCACCTGCAAGAAAGACTCATTTTGCATTTCCTCCAATGAACAATACAATGACAACTTTAGCTAGTAAATTTCTGAATGAAAAAAATTAGTAACTTTTCTTGAGACAGTAATAACAAGGAAAATAGTAGATCTGCTTTTATTAAAATTTCAGTAATTCCTTTGTTCTTTACACCTATACCCAAACAAGTGACAAGTGAAATAGTACAGTGTTCTCTATAAAAAGGACACACAGATGTAGTTTCACTATAGCTTATGCCTCAATTTCCTTAGACAATGATAAAAACACTCATTTCAACAGCCTAATCCTAAACTATCTGCTAAAATTCAATTAATGACACTGATTGATTAATCAACATTAAGATGATCACATTTTAACACGGTGGCTTTACTGCATAAAATTTAACTGACATTTAATTTTTCTATTTACAGGACCAGCAGATGGCATGGTAGTTAAGGGTGCTGGACTTCCACACAGCCGGCCACGGCTTGTTTCATTCTCCCTACTCTCCCAACTCTGTTCCTTTCTGGTCAAATTAAAATAAAGTTAAATAAAAAATAATTCTTAAAAATAAATTTTGATATTGGAACCAGCAGTTAGTGTAATGGCTATGTTGCTGGACTCCCATGTAGTCGACCACAGTTCGAGTCCCAGACCTGGTGGCTTAAATTCACATCGGGTGAGTGTGCATGTGTGCCCAAGAGGAGAATGGAGGGGAAGGGATTGTGGCGTGGCCACCCCTCCAGGGAGTAATTAAATAATTCTTAAAAATAAATTTTGATATTGGAACCAGCAGTTAGTGTAATGGCTATGTTGCTGGACTCCCATGTAGTCGACCACAGTTCGAGTCCCAGACCTGGTGGCTTAAATTCACATCGGGTGAGTGTGCATGTGTGCCCAAGAGGAGAATGGAGGGGAAGGGATTGTGGCGTGGCCACCCCTCCAGGGAGGAATTTCTCACTTTCAGTCTCTCTGTCTCTTTCTGGCAAATGCATGTGCCCTATAACAACAACCTCTCAAAAATAAATAATAATAAAAATATTTTGATATCTACAGTAAAATGCCATCATAAAACTCATTTTCCACTATTGTTCAAATGATTATATATAAAGTACTAATGTACAGGGTGATGTACTAATTATACTTTAACTTTGAAAACCATGATGAACTTATTACCAAATCATCTCCAAGTTTTTTCTTAGTAACACTTTATTAACAATTAATGCAATAACAATATTCTTGGACAAGATACATCAAAAAGTAGATTTTGAGTTAGAATACCTTCTTTTTAATTTTGGACCAACGAATGGGATAGGTTTTGGATGTGACTCATTTCGTAGTTTTCTCAAATTTCTCTGATCTCCAAAACCGTAAACTGCTGACTTCCAGGTCCCATCGTGAATACACAACCCCTAGGAAAACACATCAAGGGTGCAAACAGTGGTAAGTACTAAAATGTAAAACTAGGTAACTTAGAACTGCTACAAACAGTTCACCTCTAGAGGAGTGAGACACAATCCCTTATTTGGTCATCTTGAGATGAATTTTCTTGATCAGCTAGGCCCAGTAACTTGATAGCCTGACCATGGTCAATAGTTATACTGATACAACCCTTTCTTCTCTCCTACCATTATTTATGCTTTTTATAATGAGAAACTTAGTTTATCTTCGCCATTTTTACTAAGGTATCACCACATTCCTTCAAAATTAACCCCTCTAATCCTATCCCTATCCTAAGCTGATTTCTCAAAATTTCAAAATATGTTCAAGTGTACGTTCATGCATCAAGTGCAGTCTGTCTATCCCCCGGGTTATGCCAGTTCCCCATTCATCTCCTATACCTCACCTCCTACTCTAGTCCCAATTTATATGTCTGTTTTCTCATACAAGTCTTTATTTTTTTAATTACTTAACTTTATTTATTTTAATTTGATTGGGGGAGTGGGGGGAGTGAGAAAGCGCATGCGCACACAAGAGAGAAACTGAGAAAGCAAGCCACCAGGTCCAGGACTTGAACCGTCGTCAGCCATGTGAGAGTCCAGCCCCTCAACTATAAAACCAACTAGTGGCCCCTGAGTTGCATTTCTCATACGTGCCACCCTGAGTTCCAAGTATGCCTTTCCCTTTATTCAGGTTGCTGCCTCTGACCTTCCAAATGCTACTTTGGAAGGCAAATCTTAGTAAAGTCTCTATAAGTCATGCCCAAAATTATTCAGACCCATTACAATGTTTATTCTTCTATTCTAGTATAGTAAACAGTGTAAATAGACACAAATTTTAGTATATTTTATACAGCCTTTCTATTAATCCAAATATATACTTAAGATTAAAAACACTGTGTATATCATGTATGCATCTTAAAATTTTAGATTAATTCTATATATGTACATATAGCATAATAACCTAAACATGTTCCACACCAACTCCAAAGATTTTTGTGTTTTGTTATAAAATTTACTCTTTCTTCTCCACATTTCTGCTGCACCCGCCCTTGAAACTCCATCCCAGCTACTCCAAAGAAGTTCTCAATCTCTCACCTCCCAGGTAGATATAATCTCTAATTCTCAGAATCCTTCGGTGTTTTATCTGATCTATTTATTATTTTTTTTAGAGAATTTTTTTGCCATAGGTGTGTGTGCTCACCAAAGAGATAGAAATTGAGAAATCCACCAGCGGGGATGGCCAGGCTGCAATCCCTTCTCCTCCATTCTCCTCTCGGGATTTTGGGCACGCATGCAAGCATGCTCAGCATTAGTTTTAAGCCATGGGGTCCAGGACTTGAACTATGGTCGACTGTGTGGGAGTCCAGCAATGTAACCATTATGCCATCTGCTGGTTCCACATCTGATCTATTTTTTAAAGTTTATTTACTTTATTCATGATTAAGAGTGCATGTGCACACTTGAGAAAGACAGAGAGAGAGACATTAAGCATATCTTCAACAGCATCTTGTCATGCTACAATCCCCTTTTCCAAGTTCTCAATTCATAAGAATCTTGGGCACATTTGCTCAACTTGTTTTGAGGCCTACCCAGGGCCTATCCATGGCCACCATGTGGAGCTAGCACTAAAATTCAGTTTGCTACTGACTGTACCACCAGGCTATGCTTCATCTGATCTCTTTAATCATAAGTATTTCTATCTCCTGCCAAACAAAATTATTACCTCTTTAACAACAAGGTTTGTACCATATTCATTTGTGTCACTTTACCTTAAACTATGTATCTTTACACTACTACATAATATTTGTTGAATAAATACACTGTAACAGGGACAAATACTTAGGAAACCACAAATATAGGCTAAAGTTTGGTTAAGCACCACCGACAATAAAAGTATTATAAAATACGGTCCATTCCCAGAAATGCAATTATGTTCCCAAATAGATTATAAATTCAGTAAGAGGGCTAGCAGGTGGTGTGGTGGGTGGGGTGCTGGACTCCTGCATGGCTGAATGCAGTTCAAGTCCCAGACCTGCGACTCTCCTCTGTCTCTCTCTGGTGAGTGCACATACCCTACAGCAAATTTAAAAATAATAATAAGTACAATTAAATAAATCATTCTTTTGTAGAAATTTTAAAAATTAATTCAGTAAGAATAGATTTATCTCATATATTTCTTTTATGGTCACAATAGTATCTAACTCCAAGTTGGCCAATTATAAAAATACATGAACTTGGGACCAGCAAACAGTGTAATGGTTATGTCACTGGACTCCCACACAGTCAACTATAGTTCAAGTCCCAGACCTGGCGGCTTAAAATTCACACCAGGCACATGTGCATGCATGCCCAAAATCCAGAGAGGAGAATGGAGGAGAAGGGACTGCGGCATGGCTATTCCTCCCAGGGGGTGATTTCTCACCTTCTGTCTCTGTCTCTCTGGCAAGTACACACATCCTATAGCAAAAATCTCTCAAGGAAAAAAAAATACATGGACTAGCATTAACATAATTCTCTTGGTTGACACTATTTATTACATAATGGTAGATACTTTAGTGTTGGGATAGAGGTAATTCAATCTAATATAACAAATTACGCAGTCATTTTAAAGATAGATTTCTATTTAAGTCAGAGAAATTCTTGATAATTTAGTATTTTTACACTTAAAAATTAAATACGATGACTTTCATTCACTAAACTTTACAAATGTATTTCAAATTTAGGGGCTGGATAGTGGCAGAGTGGTATAGCATGATACTCTGTGAGGCTGATCAACATGGGATGGTTGAAGGTTCGCATCCAGAAAGTTCAGAGAACAATGGGCATATCTGTGATCCTGGGCTGGCTGGGGACAGATCACAGCACTGGGACCGTGCTGGGAGTGTTATCTAGCTCACTTATGGAAAAAATGGGTAAATAACTTTATCTACATATGTACATGTACATAAAATTTAATTAATCTAAATCTTTTTTTAAGAGGCAGACATCAGGGGCTGGCAGGTGGAGTGGTTGTTGAGGTGTTGGATTCCCACAAGGCTGACCACGGCTTAAGTCCCAGACATGGCAGCTTGCTTTCTCAGTTTCCCCCACCCCCTCGGTCAAATTAAAATAATAACAACAAACAAAATTAAAGAAATAATTCTTTAAAACAAAAAAAGCCTATATCATTTCCAAAGTATTTTTTTATCTTGACTTGAAAAAAATACTTGACAACAGAAATACTAACCTCAGGTCCTGAATTTACAGTCAGGAAACTTTCCACAGCAGTTAAAGTACCTAAAAAAGTAGAATGGTAAAAGTAAAATTAAATTAAATTATTTAGCAGAGACAAGTACTAAGTAAAAATAATTCCTATTCACTTAGGAACCACTCTTACTAAACCTATAGCAGACACAGTCAGACGATTTGTTCAGATAACAGTTTTATTATGTTATTATAAAGAGACTTAAGAAGTTAAGGTCAGATAAACTATCAAAAAGAGTAGTTAAGCATAAACCTGTTAGTACTGACAATATCTTTTCTGTTATTTAAACTGGCAATACTGGGACCAGCAGTTAGCGTAATGGCTATGTCGCTGGACTCCCATGGAGTCGACTGCGGTTCAAGTCCTGGACCCTTAAACTCACTCCAGGCGCGTGTGCATGGGTACCCAAGATCCCAAGAGAATGGAGGAGAAGGGGTTGCGGCGTGGCCATCCCCCCTGGGGGGCGACTTCTCTCTTTTTGTCTTCCTCTCTCTGTCTTTCTGACGAGCGCACGTGCCCTATAGCAAAAACTTCTTCAAAAAATAAAAAATAAATAAAAATAAACTGACAATACTAAGACTCTCCTCCAATAAGGCAGTGATTTAGCTCACCCATTCTGGAAAGCCATTAAGACACCGTTCTCGGGACCAGCAGTTAGTGTAATGGCTATGTCGCTGGACTCCCACATAGTCAACCGTGGTTCACGTCCCAGACCCAGCGGCTTAAACTCACGCCAGGCGTGTGTGCGTGCATGCCCAAGATCCTGAGAGGAGAATGGAGGAGAAGGTATTGTGGCGTGGCCATCCCCCCTGGGGGGTGATTTTTCGCTTTCTATCTCTCTGTCTCTCTCTGTCTTTCTGGCCAGCACACGCACCCTATAGCAAAAACCTCTCCAAAAAAAAAGACACAGTTCTCAAAATTACATCTATGGAAATTATTGTTTTCAAATATGACAGCTTTCAATCAGTTTATTAGTAGTGGCTTATAGTAAATGTATAGAAAAACTATCAAAACATCCTTTGTTACAACTTTAAAATACTTAAGCTGTTAAATTAAAAATATAGTAAGTATAAAATAAAAAACCAAAGTAGAAAAAAGGGAGAAATAAATTATATTCACCATGAAGACTAACATACAGGTATAGTGGTTAAGTATTTCATTAATTTTTGAGTTTCTTAAGAATAGTAAGGCAAAAGAAAGACATAATGGTCTGGTTAATTCTCAAAATCCAGTGAAATAAAATATATCCATTCCTTAAGAGAAATTTCTGGTTTAATTCCAATAGCAAATTAAAACATGGAGCCTAATAATGTTGACACAGAGCAAGATAAAGAATAACCACATCATCAACAGTAGAAGAGAACTATAGACACACAAACTCCATTGGTCTGACTACAAACAAAAAATAAGAACAGCTCATTAAAGTATAACCCACTGGAGATGATTCTCAGAACTGCTGAGAGAATGCAGCTAGGCATGTGGTCTGTGCTCTAAGCCTAAAGAACATGGGCCACCCAAGCAGTGTGTAATGAAACATGAAATGTGGAACACCTGTACCAAAAATCAGCTGGGTTACTTGTAAAAACGCTGACTTCAAGGTTTTGGTATCTGAAAAAAAAATTTTTAAACAAACCTTAAAGGAATATTCTCTCCCTTAAGAAGGAAAAAACACCTATTCGAAATAACAAAATTATTAAATACTTTGGAATAACCTGATTAAGAAATATGTATGACTCTCATGAAGAAAACTTCTAAAACTCACAGACTAGAGACTTTTTTTTTTTTTTTCATAAAAGGAGACTTACTAGGTCAATGAATTGGAAGACTTAAATATTTTAAAGATGTTTAATTCACATTCCTCTTTTTCATGCCAGTCAGAAGATGCATGTGTGAGCACCAGAGAGAAAAAGCACCCTTCTAAAGAGGCCTAATCAGACCAAAAATTCCATCTCCTCTAATTTTCCATCCTGTCTGGACGGGGAATGGACATGTAGCAGTGCACAGTTTTGTAAGCCACTGGGCTTAGATTCGAACCTTGGTCAGTCTTACGGGATCAGGCTTCCTCTGCACAGTGTTTAACCTCTATGTAACAGGGCTGGTCTACATACCTCTCTTTAATGGGAATGACTCAAGTGTTTTACCATTAAGTACAATGTTGGCTATTGCTTTTTGACAATTATGTAAGAAAACAGGGTATTTAAAAAGTTAATGAAAAAATGCATATTATGAAAAACTATACATTGAAAATTATGTGTACCAAATACATACACATGAATTTAAAAAAACTTTGCAGCAAAATAAACTTTTTTTTTTTGTTTTTTAGAGAGAGATTTTTGCTATAGATGTGTGAACTCAACGGAGACAGAGAGACAGAAAGTGATAAATCACCCAGTGGGGAGATGGCCACACCACAATCCCTTCTCCTACAATCTTCTTACAGAATTTTGGGCACGTGCACACACACACACTGCTGGTCCCAATAAACTCATGTTTTAATTCCATTTTTCCATGCACTTATTGAAGTCCCCCTCATATTATATTAATAAACTCTTAAAAATACAAAATCCATAAACCAAGTGAATTTTTGATTTTCATGTCATTTATTGAGATGGGCACAAAGCTTTTTACTTTTGATCTTCTAATATGATGATCACCAAACTTCCTAGTGTTAAATCTTGGTTGTGATGGATCTTTCTTTTAAAATGCCATTAGATATTTATTAAAATTTTTATATAGCATTTTATTTTAAATAGTTTTGTAACAGGGAGCATGTGCTGGCCAGAAAGACAGAAAGTATCCCCCAATGGAGCAATGGTGACACTCTCTTCTCCCCTTCTCCATCCTGTTGGGAGTTCGGGAAAGCATATATGCACCAGTGTGCTTTTCAAGCCACTGGTGCTGGGATTTGAACCTCATAGTTGGCTGCATGTGATCAGCTTCCTTTAACCACTATGCTACAAGGCCAGTCCTATAGCATTTCCTGTTTACTTCTAATCACACAAGCAAGATTCATTTGTAGGAACCAGATGATACAACAGTAAAACGAATGCTCTCTGAGACTGACCCAGATGAAAAGGTTTCAAGTTCACATCCAGAGACCCTGTTATGGATGCTGGGCACATGCATACCCAGGTCGGTCGTTGCTGGCTACGACTGGGGGTTGACTGTGACATCAAGACCTTGTTGGGGGTGCCGTTTCTCTCTCAAGAGATAAACTTTGAAAAAATAAAGTGAACTTTCTTTAAAAGAAAAAGAATAACTTGTAGCTTTTGTGTGTGTGCATGTCCTATCTTTGCTGGGTTTTGGCTTCACGGTTATGTTAACGTTTTTAAAAAATAATTATTTAATTGGGACCAGCAGTCAGCGTAACGGCTATGTCACTGAATTCCCATGTAGCCGACTGCGGTTCGCGTCCCAGACCCAGTGGCTTAAACTCAGGCTGGGCACATGTGCACGCATGCGTGCTAAAGATACTGAGGCGAATGGAGAAGGGATTGCGGTGTGGCCATCCCCCCAGGGGAAGATTTCTCGCATTCTGTCTCTCTGTCTGTCTTTCTGGCGAGTGCATGCGCCCTGTAGCAAAAACCTCTCAAAAAAAAAAAAAAAAAAAGTGTCCCCGTAAACAAAACCCCCAAAAAAAAAAAAAAAAAAAAAAGAATTATTTTATTTAACTTTATTTATTTATTTTAATTTGATCACAGAGGGACAAAAGGTGAGGAGAAAGCAAGCTACCAGGTCCAAGACTTGAACCGCAGTCAGCCATGTGGGAGTCCAGTACCCCTAACCACCATGCCATTTGCTGGCCCTTTAACTTTTTAATATAAACTGGAACACTTTCCATTTTTTTAAAAGTCTAAAACAGGCCGGCAGGTGGCATGGTTTAAAGGTGCTAAATTCCCACATGGCCAACTACATTTTTGGGTCCTAGACCTGGCAGCTTGCGTTCTCCCTTTCCCTTTCTCTCACTCTCTAGTCAAATTAAAAAATAGTAACAAATGAAATTAAATAAATAAATTAAATTTCATTAAAAAATAAAGTTTAAAATCTAAAACAGTTTGTAAGATACTGTACAGACACCAGCAGATGACATAATGACCATGTCGCTGGACTCACACAGTGGACCATGGTTTGAGTCCTAGACTAGCAGCTTGAAATTCATACCAGACACATGTGTGCGCATACCCAAGATCCTGGAAGAAGAATGGAGAAGGGATTGCAGCGTAGCCATCCCCCTGGAGGGTTATTTCTCACTTTCTGACTGTGTCTCTCTGGTGAGTATATGTACCCTATAGCAAAAATCTCTCTCTGAAAAAAGGAGTCCAGCAACATAACTGTTATGCCATCTGCTGATTCTATTTTTCCTTTTTTTTTTTTTTTTAAGAATTATTTTATTTAACTTTATTTATTTTTATTTGACCAGAGAGGGACAGAGTGTGTGAGTGAGAGGGGGAAAGTAAGAAAGCAAGCTGCCAGGTCCAGGACTTGAACCACAGTCAGTCATATTTGGAGTCTAGCACCCTTAACCACCATGCCACCTGCCAGCCCCAATATGCTTAATTTTCTAATGGATACTCTGAAATACATATTAGTAACTTCAATTGTTTTAGTATAATATTGATGGTTTCCTTTATACATAAATAATTGTATTTTACAAATAGGGTAAAAAAAGATGTCAAATTTTGTGTTTAATACTTTCTAGCTTTGATGGTTAAAAATATATAACCTTTTAGGGACCAGCGGATAGTGTAATGGTTATACCACTGGACTCCCATGTAGTTGAACATGGTTTGAGTCCCAGACTGGCAGCTTAAACTCACGCTGGGTGTGCAAACCCAAAATCCCAAAAAGAGATTGGAGGAGAAAGGGTTTCAGTGTGGCCATCCCCCGGGAGGTGAATTCTCGGTTTCTGTCTCTCTGTCATTGTGACTCTGGAGAGAGCACACACCCTATGGCAAAATGTTTCTCTTAAAAATTTAAGAGGTTTTTGCTATGGGGCGTGTACCCTCGCCAGGAAGACAGAGACGAAGACACAGAAAGCAAGAAATCACCCCCCAAGGAGGATGGCCACGCCGCAATCCCTTCTCTTCCATTCTCTTCTCGGGATCTTGAGCATGCACGCACACAGGCTCAATGTGAGTTTAAGCCACCGGGTCTAGGACCTGAACCGCAGTCAACTACATGGGAGTCCAGCGACATACCCATTGTGCCAACTGCTGGTCCAAAAAAAAAAAATTAATTATAATATACATGTAAGTTATATTTTAACGTGTTGATTCCTAAACAAAGCAAATTTGAATTTATAATTGCTGCCAACATTTTTTTTCTGATGAATTTTACAGTTTTAAGCATTACTAAATTGAAATAAATAATTCCTCATTTCAGAACTCTTATAGTACTATCCATGTCTGAACAATAATGTCAATTGCATTTCAGTACAAATGTAGCTACAGTAAAAATATATATTGTAATCTTACTCATTTATTTTGTTTTTTTGTTTGTTTGTTTTTTGAGAGGTTTTTGCTATCGGGTGTGTGCGCTCGCCAGGCAGACAGAGACAGACAGAGAGACAGAAAGTGAGAAATCACCCCCCAGGGGGATGGCCATGCCGCAATCCTTTCTCCTCCGTTCTCCTCTCGGGATCACGCACGCACATGCACCCGGCGTGAGTTTTAAGCCACCAGGTCCGTGGTCAACTACATGGGAGTCCAGCGACATAGACATTACACTAACTGCTGGTCCCGCAATTTTACTCATTTCTTTTCCCAACTAGAAATTAATCACAATCATAAATATGAAGTCCATCTCTACTGCTAAATTTAATTATTGCTTAGTGATCAATAATTACCATTCATTTTATTTCTGGTGTAGATTACTCCCAGATCTGCTGGAATGGAGTCAAAGCCACTGCTTCCAATGATATAAACCCCTTTTTCTGCAGCTTGCTCATGATACTTCCAATACATTAGCTCTAGAAACTAAAAGAATCCAGGACAAAAATCTGAATCAGAACAATCTAGAAACACACCAATATTAAATGATACATTTTTAAAGACACGGCAATTAAACTGAAAATGCTAACAATATGGTTTTGTAACAAATTAACTATCAAAATGTGTTTTCATTTAGCAAATATTGACTACAGCTACCACATGCCAGGTGGTATGAGAGATATGCTGATCTGACTTAATGACACCATTAACTTTTTTAGAATGACTTTTGAATGTAAAAAAATATCTATTACAGGGGCTGGCAGGTGGCGTGGTGGTTAGGGTGCTGGAATCCCACATGGTCAATTGCAATTTGGGTCCCGGACCTGAGGCTTGCTTTCTCACTTTGCCCCTTTCTCTCTGATCAAATTAAAATAATAATAATGGTAATAAAAAATAAAGTTAAATAAAATAATTCTTTAAAAAAAAAAACCTATTATAAAAAATTACACTAATAGGGGCCAATAGGTGGCATGGTGTTTAAGGCACTAGACTTCCACATTGTTGACCATGGTTCAAGTACTGGACCTGGTGGTTTTCTTTCTCACTTTCTCTCTCATCTCTCCCTGTCTCTGGTCAAGTTAAAGAATAATAAATCAATTAAATTAATAACTGTTTTTAAGAATTACACTAATGAAGAAAAATACCCCCAAAAAAAAAAGGGGGGGGGAACCAACAGTTAGCATAATGGCTATGTCGCTGAACTCCCACGTAGTCGACCGCAGTTCGAGTCCCAGACCCGGTGGCTTGAACTCACACGGGGCGCATGTGCATGCGTGCCGAAGATCCCAAAAGGAGAATGGAGGAGAAGGGATTGCAGCGTGGCCATCCCCCCTGGGGGGTGATTTCTCGCTTTCTGTTTCTCTGTCTCTCTCTGTCATAAAATTAAAATAAAAAAATTAAATAAATAAAATAAAAAATTTTTTAAAAAGGCAAAAACAATTACGTCGAATCGTATCACCCAGATAAACATCACTACACATGCATATATATGGCTATATAGGAAGATGGAATGAAAGAAAAGCTGACGGAGAAAGTAATAACATCTGCACATAAATTCTTTTCTTTTTTTTTTTTTGATTGCCAAAGGGTACTTGCACTTGCCAGAGACAGACACTGAGAGAGGGTAAGAACCTCCCTCAGTGGGGCGTGGTCATGGCTCAATTCCTTCTCTCTTTCTCCATCTTGCCAGGATTTTAGGCACACTCACATATGCACCCAGCATGTTTTTCAACCCTCCAGGGCCAGTATTTAAACCTCAGTCAACCTTATGGGATCCAGTTACCTTAACCAGTCAGCTGTAGGGCTGGCCCTGTCTTTTGCCTATTAAAAAAAAAATTATTTTTTAGAACAGTTTTGGATTTACAGAATAAATGAATAGAGTTCCCATGTACCCTAAATCCAAGTTTTCCCATGAACATATTTTATAGTAACATTTGTTATAATTAGTGACCCAAAATTAGCATATTCACTGAAGTCCATATTTTCTTCCTATTTCCCTAGTTTTTACCTAATGTCCTTTTTCTGTTTCAGGATGCCATCCAGGAAACCACATTATACTTAGTCGCCACGTTTCCTCAGGATCCCTTGGCTGTGATAATTTCTCACTTTTGTTTTTGATGACCTTGACAGTTTTGAGCAGTATGGGTCAGGTATTTTGCAGGATGTTCCTCTATGGAAATCTATGCTATGTTTTCTTCATGATTAAACTGGGGTTGCAGGTTATGGGGCCAGGACAACAAAGGTAAAGTGCCATGCTCACCCCATCTATCAAGGCTATATATATCCCATTAATTGATTTCCAGGGCTGATGTTGCCCTTGAACACCTACCTGGCTACGGTTCTCCACCATAAAGTTACACTCCCCCTTCCAGAGAGGAGAGAGGGTACAGCATGATTAGAATTCATCTACAAGGAGATTTCTCTCTTCTCATCCCTCTGCCAGGTTCCCCCCCCCCCGCCCCTTAGGGCACATGTGCTGCTGGAAAGAGACAGTGAGAGGGAAAGTGAGAAATCACCCCCCAATCCCTTCTCCATTCTCCTCTTAGGATTTTGGGCACACACGCACATGTGCCCAGGCTGAGTTTCAAGCTGCCAGGTTTGGGACTAGAACCACTATCAGCCATGAGGGAGTCCAGTACCTTAACCACATGCCATCTGTTTAGGCTGAGATAATTTTACATTTTCTTGCCTACAGTGTTGTAAAGATACCTGATTTTAAAAAAGGAATCATAATGAAAAAGTTATAAAGTGGGATTCTGAGAAGTATGCATAGCACACTGTTTTCATTAATTCAGTTCACAGGATGCAGTAGCTATAAAACCAGCACATCCCATACATGAAATAATTGAGGCTGTGGACAATCAAAAATCTCAAGAAAACCAAAAGCCCCTGCCATCAGTGCTCTCCTTTGAGTCATCACTGGAACATCACAGGAGCATGAAGAACACTACAGGAGGAGTCATCAACCTCAAATATGCCTATAATACCTCACTAAATATTTCCCACTTCACTAAACAGGAGGTCATGTGTTGTCAACGCTATGTGTTTTTTCCTTATCGTTTTATATACCTGGGGTTCTCCACAGATGTCGATACAGCTGGTTCCATTTTCAATACATGCTTTTACTACAGGTTCTCCATAATGTCGATACTGGGGGAAATAAAGAAATTCAATAGGTTACTCTTTCTATCAACTCAAGTGAATAAAATCCAATTTAATCTTGTAAGTACAGTCTTGGTTATCAAGAAATCAAAGGTTAACAAGTAGCCTAAAGATAAATTAAAAGAGACAACTATGCTGGTCTACCTCTCACAGCATAAATGACAGATTTATGACAATTACAAGAGCAAAGTGTGCTTACCCCTAAATGAAGACAAAATGGAAACTTTTTCTTTCTATTTTATAAACTGCTAGAGAGAACATGCACTCACCAGAGACAGACAGAGAAAAAGAGAGAGGGAGGATGCCGGCAGGTGGCGTGGTGGTTAAGGCACTGAACTCTCACATGGACAACTGTGGTATAAGTCCTGGATCTGGCAACTTGCATTCTTACTTTCTGTTTCTCTCTGGCCAATTTAAAATAATAATAATATGTAAAATTAAGTAATTCTTTAAAAAAAAAAAAAAAAGAAAGGAGGAGGAGGAACACACCCCTTAATTGAGCATAGTCACACCACAGACCTTTTTTGTAAAAATATCTCAAACCAGTCGTTTCCCCTCAACAAATCCAATTTTTAGTTCAAATTCTGTCTCCTCTCATACCACATATAGCTCCTAACTGGTTTCACTGTAGTTAATCTAGTCCTAGCTCCAGAGAAATACTAAACTGTTACTCTGAAATAAAACTGATGTCACCTTTCCTTTGCCCCACCCCATACGTGCTCTTAAAATCCTTCACTAGCTCTTCAGTGCCTGTGTTACACAGCATAAGAGGACCAGTAGATGGCATGGCGGTTACTTTGCTGGACTTCCACATGGCCAGCTGCGGTTCAAGTCCCAGATGTGGTGGCTTGATACTCAAGCTGGGTGTATGTGTGTGTGTGTGTGCCCAAGATCCTGAGAGGAGACTGGAGAAGGGATTGCAGCACAGCCATCCCTCCTGGGGGTGATTTCTCACTTTCTATCTATCTGTATCTCTCTCTCCAACAAATGCACATACCCTAAAATCTCTCTCTCAAAAAAAAAAGTACGAGTTTATTTTAGTATTAAAAAACATGAAATCTTGGGGCCAGCAGGTAGCATAGTGGTTAAGGTGCTAGTGCTAGACTCTCACACGGCCAACTGTGGTTCAAGTCCCAGACCCCGCGGCTTAAACCTCATACCAGGCCCATGTGCATGTGTGCCCAAAATCCCAAATGGAGAATGGAGGAGAAGGGACTGTGCCATGGCCATCTCCCCTTGGGAAGTGATTTCTCGCTTTCTGGCTCTTTGTCTCTTTGGCCAGTGCATACGCCCTATGGCAAAAATATCTGTCAAAAAAAAAAAGAAAAAAGAAAAGAAATCTATGCAGTTTTTAAATGTATTTCTATGAACTTTTTGAAAAGTTGTATAGAAATCTAAACTTTGTATGAAATAAACAGTCTCCAAGCATCATCCACAGTCTCTTGATTTCCATGTTCCAGCAGTTCTAAACTATCTGAGCATGCTGCTGCTTTATACCCAGACTGTGTTTCTTAGAACATCCGCCTTCTATCCTGTTCCTCCTTAACTAACTTCCATCGCCTTCAGATTCCAGCCTTAGAGCCTCAGGTTCCCTTCTCTTGTCTCAGCCAGTAAGCCACAGTCCTTTCACTAGTCAGTTCGTCTACAAATACTAGAAAGCAGCAGTAAAGCATTAATGATTTTTTTTTAAGAGAGATTTTTGCTATAAGGGTGCGTGTGCTCACCAGAGACAGACAGAAAGTGAGAAATCTCTCCCTCCACCGGTGGGATGGCCACACCGCAATCCCTTCTCCTCCATTCTTCTGTTGGGATTTTAGGCACATAAACACACATGCCCAGCTTGAGTTTTAAGCCTCCAGGTCCGGGATTCAAACTGTGGCCAACTGCATGGGAGTCCAGTGATGCAACCATTACACCATTTGCTGGTCCCCACTAATGAGCTTTGCTTCTGAAAAGAATGTATATTTTCCTACTTACCAGTCTGCCTATTCCTTACACTGTTTTTGGTCACATCTTCTCCTTGGGGCAATACTGAGACTGTACTTCTTACTAACTTATCCCTATTTTATAATGTCATTAGATGTTTCTCTATTTATTATGTTGTGTTTGTATGAGAAACATGGACAGTCAGAGTAGCAATCCTTAATCTAAGAGGAGACATTTCTCCCCTAGAAAGCCAATTAGCATACAGATCAGAATTACAAACTTGCTCTCAGTTCTCCATGTGCTAAACCAAAGGATTCAGTTGGGTGGAATATTAGAAATTTGGTTCATGTTAATTTTTATAGGAAACACAAAGAAAACTGAAGGTTTATTTAGAGCTAATATATGGATGAAAGGGGCCAGCAGGTGGTGTGGTGGTTAGGATGCTAGCTTCCCACATGGCCAACTATGGTTCAAATCCTGGACCTGGCGGCTTACTTTCTCACTTTCCCTTTCTTTCCCTCTGTCTCTGTCTCTCTGGTCAAATTAAAGAAAATAATGATAGTGAATTAAATAATTCTTTTAAAAACACACACACACACACACACATACACACACACATATATAGACAATAGCACAATTCCTGGCTATATCAAGTGGCCATGTGTTGAACATGGGATATAACAGGCATCCTGAGTGGGATGTGAGAGTGTCACAGCCCACACTGCTCAAGTAATGCTGTATTCACATCCAGAGGGGGACACTGTGACATTCATTCATTTTTAGTATATTGCAATCTGATACTTTATACACATGCCCAACAGAGAAGAATTTGTAAGGGATGAGTTCCAAGGCCTCAGGCATTTAGAGGGGGAGGATGAAAAGATACAAAGAGGAACACTGAGATAAAGTAGGGAGGGGAGGGCAAAAGGAAAACTACTAACAGAGTAAGTGTGAATCCAGAGCCAGATGAAGAAAGAAGAAAGTGACCAACTAGATCAAATGCTGAGAGGTTAGATTAAGATGAGGACTGAGTATCGATGACTGGATTTACTGGGATCTTGCCAGCGTAGTTTCACTGGAATAGTTTAAGATAGGACAGGAGGGGGGACCAGCAGTTAGTGTAATGGCTATGTCACTGAACTCCCTTGTAGTCAACCATGGTTTGAGTCCCGGGCCCAGGGGCTTAAACTCACACCAGGCAAGTGTGCTATGTGGGAGAAGGGATTGCAGCATGGCCATTTCCTCTGGGGGGTAATTTCTTGCTTTCTGTCTGTCTCTCTCTGTCTTTCTGGTGAGCGCACGTGCCCTATAGGAAAAACCTTTTCAAAAAAAAAAAGATAGGACAGGAGGGGACGAGCACATAGCATAATGGTTGTGTCACTGGACTCCCATGTAGTTGACCACGGTTCGAGTCCTGGACCTGGTGGCTTAAAACTCACGCCAGGCACATGTGCATGTGTGCCCAAAATCCAAAGAGGAAACAGAGTAGAAGGGATTGCGATATGGCTATCCCCCACGGGGAGGTGATTTCTCGCTTTCTGTCGCTCCAGTGAGTGTATGCACCCTATAGCAAAAACCTCTCTTTAAAAAAAAAAAAAAAAAGAACAGAAGGTGAGAAAGTACAATGAGTAATGAGAACTCGTTCAAGGAGTTTTGCTAAAAAGGGGGCACAAAAAATGGAATAGTTGAATGGGAATGTAGAATCAAGGGGAAAGAATTTTTTTAAGATGGGAGATATAAACACATATTTAAATGATGACAGAAATAATCCAGTAAATACAAGGGAAAAACTTTATTTGCTACAGGGTGTATGTGCTCACCCATGAGAGAGAAAGAGGGAGAAAGAAGGTGAAAGCACCCCACAATGGAGGATGGTCATGTCACAACCCTTTCTTCTATTCCCCCTTCCTATTAGCATTTTGGGCATGTACACACACACACTGGCATATTTTTCAAGCTGCCAAGGTTGGGACTCAAACAGCAGTCAATCATGTGGGATCCAGTTCCCTTTGCACAGCACCTACCACTGCACCACAAGGTCAGCCCAAGAGGGAAAGTTTGGTAACAAGAAAATGTGTAAGTATAAATATAAAGTGTTTGAATAAAGCATTCAATAGAAATAGGATCCATTTTTCCTTCTAAAGGAGGTAAGGCAGAATACAGAGTACAATGCAGGCAGGTAGATCTGGTGGTAAGATAAATTTTGTTCTGACACCTTCTACTTTTGTAGTTAAAAAAAAAAAATCAGGTAAGTGGCCACATGGGTGGTGCAGCTACAATAACACTGCTCAAGCAATGATGTATCCCCATGGAAAATTGTGAATTTGGTTCCCCAGCTGAGTTGGGCATGCGGTACATGCATCCATGATCCTGGTTAGCTGGAAGGGCTAGAGGTGAAATGTGGCATGAGATCCAACCACCCCTCAGCATCTCAACTACTAGTGTGGTGATTTCTGTTTAGATTATTCCACTGTTGGTCCCTTCTCTATTTTCCTCTCAGAAGCCAAAGAACTTCAAAAATAGATCAGATTATATTCTTGCTTTCAACTGTTCAACAACTCTTGATCACAGTTAGAAAAGAAAAAAATCCAGGCAGACAACACTGCCCAAGTCTCTCCCCCTCAACCATGGTCAACCCCACCATGTTCTCCAACATCACTGCCAATGGCAAGCCCTTGGGCTGCATCTCCTTTGAGCTGTTTGCAGACAAAGTTACAAAGACAGCAGAAAATTTCATGCTTTGAGCAGTGGAGAGAAAGGATTTGGTTATAAGGGCTCCTGTTTTCACAGAATTAGTTCAGAGTTTAAGTGCCAGGGTGGTGACTTCACACGCCATAATGGTACTGGCGGCAAGTCCTTCTATGGTGAGAATTTCAATGATGAGAACTTCATCCTGAAACACACAGGTCCTGGTATCTTGTCCATGGCAAATGCTGGACCCAACACAAATGGTTCTGTTTTTCATCTGCAGTGCCAAGACAGAATGGTTGGATGGCAAGCATGTGGTCTTTGGCAAGGTGAAAGAGGGCATGAAAACTATAGAAGCCATGGAGCTCTTTGGGTCCAATAATGGCAAGACCAGTAAGAAGACCACTGCTGACTGGACACCCCTAGCGAGTATGACTAGTGTTTTCTCTTAACCACTATACCATTCCCTCTCTGGCTCAGGAGAGCACCCCCTCCATCCCATATGCTTTCTATGTCCTATAACCTATGCTCTCAATGAAGTTCACTGGGTTTCATATTTTCCTATTCTCCTCCAAATCAAGCTGAATCATAAAGTTAAGTTTATGATTATGAAATAAAAATTAAGTAAGAAAATAATATATAAATCCTGACCTACTTCAGTAGCACAGCAGTAACACATTGCTCAAGCAAGGCTGGATCAATACGAAGATCTTTGGTCAACCTGTACATTCTAGGGACATGTGCCCCTGATCCTGGCTGGGTAGGAAGGATGGTGGGGGAGGAGAGGATTGCAGTGTGAGATCCTATTAAGAGTGTGTGTGTGTGTGTGTGCAGGGGGAGGACCAGCAGATGGCATGGTGGTTAAGGTGCTGAACTCCCATATGGTTGAGCACAGTTCAAGTCTCTAACTCAGCAGCTTAAAATTCATGCAGGGCACATGTGCGTGCATACATGTGTGCATATATGCCCAAAATCCTGAGAGGAGAAGGGAGTACAGGGTGACCATCCCTCCTTGGGGGTAGTGAGTTCTCCTTTTCCCTCTCTCTTTACCAAGCACATGTGCCCTATGGCAAAAAAAAAAAAAGATTGTCAGAGCCAAAAGGTGACATGGAGATTAAATGCTGGATCCCATATGACCAGTTTCACGGTTCAAGTCTCAGAAAATCACACTGGGTACATGAGCATGCATATCTAAAATCCTAAGTGGGTAAAGGAGAAGGGAGTGTGGTAAGGCCATGCCTTCAGGGGGTAATTTCTCTCTCTCTCCATCTCTCTCCTCTCTCTGGTGAGCACACATGTCATACAGCAAAAATTAGTAAGATAAATAAATTAAAAAAAAAAAAAAAACAGGGACCAGCATATGGCATAACAGCTACATGGCTGGACGCTTACGTAGCCGACTGTAATTTGAGTTCTGGACCTGGTGACTTAAAACTCACTCCAGGCGTGTGCATGCATGCCCAAAATCCCGAGGGGAGAATGGACGAGAAGGGAGTGTGGAGTGGCCACCCCCGCAAGGGGGATAATTTCTCGCTTTCTGTCTCTCTGTCACTCCAGCAAGCGCACGTGCCTTATAGCAAAAATCTCTCTTAAAAAAAAAAAAAGAAAAAAGAAAAAAAAGAAACTTAAAAAAAAAAAAAAACCCTGACTATGGCCCTAAAAGACCCTGCATGACTTAGCCCTTGCCTAACTCGACAGTTGACCTTCTACCTCTGTGCCCTGCTCACAGGCTCAGCCACATTGGCCTTGGCATATTCCCCAGTCTTGCCCAACTCGGGACCTTTGTACCTGCTCTTACTGAAACACCTTTCTCCTCACTCGTATATAGTTCACCTTCATTGAGCTCTCTGCTCAAATGTGGACTCCTCACAGAGAACTTTCCCAGCACATCTAGAAGAAATTGATGTGCTGACCTCTTATCTCCTTATTTTATTTCATTTTCCCTCAAAGCACTTATCACTACTACTATCATGTGCTAGCTTTTATGTTTCCCACACAAGAATGTAAGATCCACAAGAGATATTTTTGTTTTGTTCACTACTGTGTCCTAAATACCTAGAATAATGCATTTTACTTGTAGTAAGTATTCAATAAATATTTATGGGATAAACAAATGAATCCTTCTTTAGTCTCTATTTTTTGTGGCTTTTTGTTTTGTTTTGCTATAGGGTACATGTGCTCGCCAGAGAGGGAAAGTGAGAAATCACCTCCCCAGGGAGAGAGCCATATCACAATCCTCTCTCCTCCATTCTCCTCTTGGGATTTTGGGCATGCATCTACATGCATCCGGCATGATTCTCAAGCTGCCGTTTCCGGGACTCAAACCATGTAGTCAGTCATGTGGGATCCAACCACCCACTGGTCCTTTTTTGTGTATTTTTAAACATATATATTGTATAATAATACAAGAATATAATTTATAAATACACATAAACTTATTATAAGTACATGCTCAAACATGTGTTCACTGAAGGAGCATATAATAAAAATGGCAAAAAAAAAAAAAGTTTGGCAATCATAGCTACAATCAGTGAGCAAACCAGCACACATGTGCTCAGCTTACTGTCACAGACAGCCTGCGCTCTTTCTCTCGGAGACTAGTCACAGCCATTCGATTCACACAAAGAAAAAAATTTCCCATATGGCGGATGGGGTTAAGGCCTTCAACGAAATCCTCTATCCCTTCCCCTTATGTTCCTCTGGAAAATACCAGAGTTTGCTAGAAATGAACAGACTGTTTGTTCTGATACAAAGAAGGGCTGATTACTTACTGGTCCCACGCAGTTGAGGACAACTGTCGCCTGTTTAGCCATTTCATCAAGGGAGGCTGGATTAGTAGTATCACATATTATTATTCCAACTTCAGACGATAGTGTCGGTCTTCCTAAAATAATAAACAGATCATTTAAAGGAAATCCTAATACATGATTAGGTCTCCCAGAGCTTCCTTTGTTTTGAGTTCCCTAGGGGATGCATGCATTCACCAGGGAGAGAGAAAGAGAAGGAAAATTAGAAAGCATCCTCGCTGGGGGAGGATCATGCTGCATCTCTTCTCCTCCATTTCTTCTTTCGTGATTGTGGGCATACATGCACATGCACTTGGTGTGTTTTTCAAGCCACCGGGTCCAGGACTCAAACTACACAACCGATCATGTGGAATCTAGCTGCCTCAATCATCATGTCACTGGCTAGCTCCTTCCAGATCTTTTTGTAGTAATCAGTGACAGGAAGTTAACAGATATACTGGAGCTAACTCTCCCTCTCAAACAAAAGATAAAATTAGTTTTAACCAGGTAATTAAAAAGAGGAAAAAAGACTAAGAGGAAATGGTAGTACTAAGAGTTACTAAAAAAAATACTAAGCTTTAAAAAAAAAAATCACCTGACACAGAAATGTATAAATGACAACTAGGTGTAACGTGGCAATTTTACAGGCAAGTTTAAATGCTGAGTAGAAGATTGTCCTGACTTCTTCACCAAGAAATTTACATTAGAAAAGCAGTTTCTCATCAACTACTCAACAACTATATATGGTCCAACTATGGGGTGTGGGTGGTCTGTTAACATCACCATGAGAACAAAAGAGAACTCTGAGGTGAAAAACAGTCTACATAAAAACACCTCAACTCATAATAAGGAAATAACTGGAATTAGCTGACTTAATAAGAGCAGTATAGGTTTTGATAGGTCCAGTTAGACTGCCAATAGCTTGATTTGGGCATTGCAAATGGTACATACCTAGGCTGTACATGTATGTATCTTACTGAGCAGGTGAGAGAAACTGAAGAATAAACATTAATAGTGAAATTATTTCCTTTGGAAAATTAAAGATCAAAAAGTTCATTGGCCAAGATTCTGTGTGTTAGTAGTGCAAGCGACAAGAGTTATGGGGAAGGCTACATGGATATCTTCTACATATAACCACATATAAGAGTCTGCATTCACACTGAAAGCTGGGTTCTGTGTGGAATTATGCAATTAAATAGAAAGAATGTCGTACACACATAACTCTTCGCAGGTACTATTAGCCGGTAAGAGGTGAGCGATGAAGAGAATTAACAAAGGCCATGAAATCCTAAGTTAGAAAGGAGTCTTCCAGTATGTCTGCCTCCTGCACGATGCAAGTGGGTGGTGATTAGGGACGCTGGACTTCCACATGGCTAACCACAGCTTGAGTCCCGGACTGGGAGGCTTACTTTCTCACTTTCCCTGGCTCTCCATCTCCCTCTCTCGCTGCTCTGTCCCTCTCTGATCAAATTAAAATAAATAAAGTTATATAAAATAATTCTTAAAAAAAAAAAGTCTACCTCCTCTGTCTCCCACATCCATATACCCAGCACTTAGGACAAGACCTAGCATGGAAAACACTCAATAAACGTATCCTGAATGAGTGCTGAAAGAATAAAAAGAATAAGTGTCCAAATCAGATATGTGTGTGTGTGTGTGTATACACACTGAAAAGTTAAGGCCACTGGAAAATTCGCAAGTTAAAAATAAACAATAACAAAGACACGGCAACGTTATCAGCAAAACTCTCAAGCTGTCTCTCCCATCCTCAAACACAAGGCAAAGGAGAGTACACCCTCTAAGAAACCGATGCCCTACTTTCCAATCCCACTACCTATCAAGAAACCCATCACCAGGTACGCCAGCTCCAGAGCCCGGTGAAGCAGAGAAAAGGACAAAGTTCTCGACTACGTCGCTATGGAGACTGACCAAACTATAGCAGAAAATTCAAAAAGGGGAAGGAATGAAAGCAAAAACATTTTAAGTTTTTAAAAGTTAGGGATATGCCATGAAATAAGCTGAAACGCCCCTCTCCTCTGGGCCAAGACAGGGCTGGGGGGAGATGTCGGGCGCGGTCCCGGGGAGAAGCGCTCGTTTTGGGCAACCGCGAGTCCTGGCCCGGGGTGGGGGC